CACATCTAATTTGTACCCTGGGGCCACCTCGCTAGTTAATCCTGCTCCTGTTTTGACCACCATCAACAGAAATCTGTACAGAACCTTGCACAAGGCAGCCAACTTTGTACTCAAAGTGTGCAGCTGCATACCTGCCACCATACTGTGGCTTACACAAACACACACAAACAAACACCCCCTTTGACTTGTCACTCTCACTCCTCCACATTTCCAGAAAATACATGCATGCACATGAACAAAAACCAACAAACACAGAAGCGCCTGCATCGAAACATAGCAAAGAACAATACAAACAACGCCTATTAAATGTTGTGTGCACATGGCATACATGAAGTCAAGTGCAAATGCATGCACACAAGTGAACACACAGACACACACACACACATACACACACCACCTTATCAGCCTGTGAAAAGCTGCAAGGCGACTGCTGTCTGTTTGTCTGCGTCGCTGTTTCTGGTGTGTTTGTGATACAACACGGCCCCGTTCGCTCTCTCTGAGGCCCCTTATTCCCCCGGTGGAGATGAAATGTAATGGAGTCGATTCAATAAGAGCGCTGCCTCCTCGGGAAACGCGGAGAATCAAATCACAACAAATCCCTCAGAGCCTTCCCAGAATTCACTGCTGCCTTGTAGTTGGGAAGGAAATAAAACAATGGTGGCTAATTCACTTGGCTCTCTGCACACTTGGGCTTGCACAAGGATGGAGTGTGATACAGCAAATGTTGAGGGCTAATAAAGTTATTCAATAACACATTGACTGCTTCTACAATCTGTTTTAAGTAAATTGAGCTTTTTAATTTGCCGTCAAAGCCAAAGAAACACACATGGTCACCGAGCTGGTAAGACATTCACTGGATATCTTCTCCCCTGACTTCATAATTTACTCAGGGTATTTAGGAGATATAGCATGGTGACAAATGTTACCAGATGCCAACAGGACCAGAGTGAGAAATATTTTGGGAAAACACTGGCGGAGATAAAAACACTAAGCTCTGGACAATATTTTGCTTGGCAGATTGAGAAGGGAGAAAGAAAGACCAGGAGTGTCCCAGCAGCAAGGTTACGCAATCTGGTTCAGAGAGAAAAAAAAAACAAAAAAAAACGTTTCCACCATGATATTACACTGTACCACCCACACAATAAACCGCAAGGTAAAACAACAAAAACATCAAGTAAAAACATATACAACTTCCAGTTTACGGTCTTAAATATGTAGCTTTGAATATAAATAAAAGGCATCTAAGAAACACGCCTAATCCTGAAAGCTAATGTTACAGAGCAGACTTGAAACCAAAAAGCTAAATGTTGTTTCAGGCTTGTTACAGCAGACTGGCTTAGCCTCCAGTCCTCATGGTCATGCTCCTTAAAGCAAAGGAAACGGCAGACTGTTCCCAAAGGCTTCTGAAGCTCCTTCTAGCCTCTTTAGTTGTTTTTGTTTTTAAACCTCTGCAGTTAAATTGAAATTTCTGACAGCGCTATGTTTGAAGGAAAAAGAAGCAATTAAAAATGAACTCCAATGGATATTTATGCAGCTGCATGTTGTCTTTTCTCCCCCACGTTTCCTATTGGACTGCCAAGCACTGCGGCGCTGAGAGGGGCAATAGTACATTTTACAGCCCCAGGAGGAACAGAGTATCCAGTGGTGGTGTGACTCTGGTATTATCATTTGAACATTGAAGACATTTTTGGTGTAAGGAAGTGTCAGTGCCAGGGTTAAAAGGATGAATTCCCTCTTGGCCAGCACAGTTTAGGATAACAAGCTTCAGGTAGATCACGATGACGATGTTGATGGCTATTATCATTAGAAGCAGCAGCAGGAGTAGTGCTAAGAGTTGTGGCAGCAGCAACAAAGGCAGATTTTGTCCTTGCTTATTCCTTGTGTCATATTTCTGTCCTTCTCTGATGACCTCTTCTTGTCATTACTGTGTCATTTTGGACATGCTATAAGCATTGTTAATGCTCAGGTTGTGGCTCATCAGACTATTGTAATGTTTACAAAATGGTGCAAAATTAGGTAGCAAAGCTCTTTACAAGATGCTCTTTCCAAAGTCAAAAATAAACATTCACACTCAATTTTAGAATAGATTAAGATTCTGTTATTCATTGTAAACTTAATACCACACGTGACCTGAGGAACACTAAACAGCTTTTTGCCAGAATCGAGGTTGGTTATTAAGGCAGTTCTGTTATGCAGTCAGGGGACAAGGCCTGAGGATCTAATGTTAGCTACTTCTGAACTACTTTTAAACCACTACTGAATACATACATCATACACAGTACATTCTTTCTTATGTACCTTTATGTATTTTTCAAGCATTTTTAACATGTGCGTTTTGTGGGGGGTGTAGTTTGTGTAATCTGTTTCACTCATGCTTGCTAGGCTTCAGTTGCTACGGATCAGGGTTATACATTTGTGTTTGCTGTTTGAAGCTTTATGTAACCTTGTTGAGAAAGGCACCATGGAAATAAAGCTTTGACCCCTTCAGTTTGTCTCTGAGTCATCATCACAACATGGCAGCACCAACAAAAGAGCTATGCAATTAGTACTATAAAACTGTGACACTCTGAAAGCCATCATAAAATACAGAATTAAAGATCAATCTTATTTGAACAGTGAAACAGACAAATCCAGCACACAGCAACATCCTAAGTATCAAGCTGACGCAAACAAAATCTAAAAAAAACTGTTTACCTTTTAACTTACCATGACACGCCTGCCATTTTAAAGTGTTAGCGTAGGAACAAAATAACATTTTCCTTCACTCTCAGTTTCTATGGGCATGTTATTGCTTTGATCAAATCTCCACAATGTTTAAGCTCTGATCAAATCTCCACAATGTTTAAGCTCTGATATCAGTCTTTCGCTGCCATTCGAATCCCATAATAACAAACTCTCCCGCCGTCGGGAGTGCTAGGCATGGAAGGGTCTAATTCACTTCCTGTTCAGTAGGGGGCAGACAGGAAACAGGAAACGCGCTTCCTGGTTCTCCCAGGAGGTATATTTTTCTTTCAACTGGGGATCTGGGAACGTAACATAATATCGTTATGGAGTTTATGTCTGGCACCCACACTGCTGTAATCAAAGCCTCCTGCAAAGAGCGAGCGTTTTTAAGTCTGGGGCAGCACGGTTAGCAATTGGGACTACATTTACAGTATGAAAATACTATAACATTTAAGCGTAACGGCTGCATCCATAATAACATAAAGAATATTACATATTCAAGCAGAAAGGTACTTGAACATGTTCATTGTCTAAAAGCCCATAAGCCCACCAAAGTCTAACACAAGTGAGACCTGTTGATGATTTTAATTGAAAAGACCAATGTTACTTAAGTTTTAAGGTCATGGTTATTAATTTTAGGGCTGCAACTAGACTAACATACAGACTACTTTTCAGACAGGGGAACTACTGATTACATTTTTGCTTGATGAATGACTTAAACGATTAAACAATTACTAAAACGGTCTAAAGAAATTTTTTCCGTGCCTGCAGTTGTTGCTGTGGGATTTGGGGAGCAGCTTTCTCATACAACATTTTCAACCCAAAAGGTAGTGGTGCAATGGGTCACAAAACTCATGGATTGGATCATTTTAGAATCAGCAAAACAATAAAGTTAGGTTTAAATCCATAATAAAAATGCGCTACTTTGGCTTTGATATAGAGAGTATTCCTTATGGGGTGAAAAAGCTGTAAACTTCATAATAAAGCAGAGTCATGAGTGAAATCCCTCACCTAATTAAAATAAGATTCCATATCTGTCATGCTAGTGTATTTTCTTCGGCTGTGCATCTGCATACCTCCACACAGGACCACATCCGGGATAAAAAAAAAAGAAAAAAAAAAGGCAGTGAAAACAGCAGCAGAATGAATTATGAATCAATAGGAGCTACAGCACTCTCAAAGTACACACAGGCTGCTGGGCCATCTGGGGATGCATGAAAACCACGACTAAAGACAAAGCCATTCATTCAGCTGTGGATGTACCCGCCTGCACTGCCTATGTTTCTGTACGCTGCAGGCTTTCCTCGATTGGCTTCAAGTTTCCCAAATCCATTTTAGGACTACCAATCTCTCCATTTATTGATCGGAGGAGGATTGGGAAGCACTTTAGCACAGAACTGCAGTGATGAGAACTGCTGCTGCTGCTAACAGGCAGGCGTTCAGAACATTCACTGCAGTGGACATTGCTTTGGGTTATACATTTCATAATGCCACTTAGCTGATGTATGTGAATACAAAGTAGATGCACAGTGAAAAATGATCTTCATGCCAAGCCAGGGTGATAATTTAAAAATGACTGACAGCTGTCAATCATGGACATAGAAGATCTGAACTGTTGGTAGCTCAAATGGAATGCTTCACAGAAAGGCAAGGAAACGGGGAAATGCAACAAAGTGAAAAGGTAGCAACAAGGTGAAATCAACAAGAGAACGAAAGACAGAAAGAAAGAGGTAGAAAGGTCAAGGGAGACAGAAAGAGAGGCGGATATTCAAAGGTTTCCATTCACTCACTGCCTCCCCAGAGTAATCCCACATTCCCTCGAGAATGGCGCATTGTGTCTAGCAGTCGGCGAGCTGACATTTACCGCCTGCCTTCTGTTGCTGTGATTATTTTCTCCTCCAGGTGTGATAGCCTGCCTGCTGTCTCTGCGCAATAATGCTGCCTCAGAGTTACGAGAGCTGGGAATGCAAGCCAGAATCAGGCCTGAACAAACCTTTTACTGAAATACCATGACTGGCGCGTGCTTTTGAATTGGAGGTAAAAAGGTTGCCACACCACGAATGGCAACCCGTCACCTGGCTTGGGCAGAAATGGCATTGTGACTTCATTAGAAGAATTAGAGTGTTGGCAAGAAACTAATTCATTTTTCAAGGAAAACAGAAGACATGAAGGATATCATATAAACAGTAAAATTATTTTAGTTTCAGCAGTTGACTGACCAACACCAAGGTATAAGAAATGTTTAAAACAAAACAAATGCATAACTCCACCCCTACCTGTCTGCAGACGGAGGCCTGTCGTTGCGGGCCTTGCTGACTTGGGTGTAGAGGGAATCTGAGTGCTGGTGCGGATGAATGTGGGGGTAATCGTCCCGGGGGCTGTGGGGCCTGCTATGCCCACTGTCCACAGAGCTGTTCAGGGGGTTGATGCCTGCATATGTGTGCTCCTCCTCAGAGGACCGCTCCGGCGTGCGGCTTATGTCCAGGATTTCGGCGTAGTCCCGTTCCCTAGCCTGACGCTCCCTCAGCTCCCTGGTCTTGGCCTGGATCCTGATGGTGAAGATTGTAGTAGACTTATTAATTTTAAAAATCATGGCTTTAGGCATTGTTTTATTGGATAATGCCATGCCAAGTTCTACCATAGAAATCTGGTCATCTATGGCTAAATAAATAAAGCTTAATTGTCCAGCAAATGACATTTGCTTTTAGCTAACACTGACTAAGTGACCATGGAAAAAATGGCTGAAGAATAAGCTTGAGTCCATTCATTGTAAATATTATAAAAGTGTTGTATTATAGTATTAGAAATATATCTTTAGCAGACACAGTTTCATGTATTGAATTCAGCCGCAATTACTGGAGCCAAAGAACCAAGGCGACATTAGACTGAAGCCCAAAGAAAAGGTAAGTGATACAAAGAAGAGGTAATATGAGAGAGCTTTTGCTACTGATTCAGTCTACAGGTAAGTTAGCTATTTAGCCAAACTGCAACCAAGTATAGTTGCTTTGGGCCACTACAGCTTGAGAGGTATTTAATTCACTGCAGAGCAAAGGACATACTTTTACATCTGACTGTTTGCTCAATAAATGGTTTCTCTATTGGATTTCAAATAAATGTAACACATTAAATCACAACATACATATTTCTGTCAAATTACACATGCCATGATAGAAGTTTACTATTTTAATTGTTAACGGACTCTATTCCATATAGACAACCCACAAAATAACTACATTGCACATAAAATAGTGAAACAAAGCACATTGTGTTATATAATACAAACATAAACTACATATTTAGTCCTACACAAGAAATGTATGAATGGCAGTGAAATTCTTCATGAACCATATTTTAAATTGCTCTGTGGGAAATTGAAACTACCACCTTAGTGGTTTCTACTCTGCCAGGTAAAACCCCTTATGTTGATAAAGCCTTGTAGTGACTCTGTGGTGCTGAAAGACGCTGTGAATCTCAGGTGTCACGTTAACAAAACACCAGATGAGCCTCTGCAACATCTGCAAGTGATTGTTTTTATTGTGCCTTTTTAACTTTCCATTACAAAAGCGAGAGAAGATGTGGAGTCTATTATTTATGCCTTCCCATCCGCTGAATAATACCATAAACAATGCATAATAGTCTCACACAAGGGAAGCACCTTGTATTCACAAAGTGCCGCTAATGTATAGCTACCATGCTTTTCTGTTTTTGTCTGTCAAATGCACGCGCACACACACACACCTCTCTCACATACAAAACAACTCAAACACAGAAATCACACATACACACTCACACTCTCTTTCTCTTCAGGCCATTATCTTGTGAATAACTGGCAACACCATTTTCTACAGCAGGGGGACTACCTATCACGCAGCCCCGTAATTACAGCCTTGCCAATTATCAGAGCTTTACAACTACCAATTATCATACTGCTCTTTTTTCTCCAGGCCTCTTTTTAATGGCAGTGGGAAAGCGAAAGAAGTGACGCGGTAGGGGGTGCAACTTCACTGAACACTCAGCGGGCTAAAATCTGTAACGCTTCCTCCAGAAAATTTGCATGCTGTGCATAATAAAACAATAAGTCTAATAAGGGGGTCTCCCTGTTGGAGGGTAGGTACAAAATGTGGATTAAAAAAAAAAAAAAAACAGTAAAAACTATAAAAATGAGGCTGGTAATGAACTTGATGGCTTTAACAGCTCCCTACTGAATCTACACTGGGCTAACAATCTTTTCAGCGAAATATGTACATATTCCAACAACTTCACCCATGTCAGATGAAAGCTTGTGGACTTGCAAACTGTGTCTGTACTATTTGTGGACTCAGCAATTATCTAATAGCGCAGAAGGAAGCAGGGCCCTTGAGGGATCTATCTTTAAACCCAGAGGAAAAACCCTATTTTCCATCAGAGAAAGCAGCCGCAGCAGCAGAAGTGGGAGCAGCTACTGATTGTATACACAAGTGCAGTAGCTGATAAGATAAGGCCAGACATACCAATCCAGCGCCAGGCCTTCACAGTGCAGCCCCTTCCCATAAGGAGGCACCGGACAGGTCAACAGGGCCAGTTTGTGAGTGAGGGAGGATGCAGCTTTGAACAAGTTGTGGTGTGTGACAAAGGACACAATCTAAATTCTTAAATACTTCTTTCTTAAACACCTCTGAAAAATATTCGTACAGTGAATGCAGAGATGCAACAGTCCAAAGTTCAAAGATATTTAATTTACAGTGCTATTAAACGGAGAAGAGCAGCAAACCCTCCCATTTGAGATGATGGTACCAGCAATTTAGCTTGATAAATGACAATTAAGTGATTATCAAAATTGACACAGATTAAGCTAAAGTTTCAGTCAATACATCTTTTCTGCACTCCTAGAGTTCTTAATATTAACTGTGTTAAAAATTATTTCACAGAAAATTTGAATGATCAAACCCAAGAAGCTATTAAGATAAATCAATTTGTAAGTATACCAAATATTCATATTTTGTACCTAAATGCATGTTTTTAAGTATCAAACACTCATCCTGTAGGCATATTACGGTCATCCATTCTCAAGCTACTTACACAGCATACTCTATGCCTGGTTAGCCATCTACATTTGTCATTCACTATCTACGCAAGCAGACACAATTGCTTGCTGCAAAATCAACAATGATGCCGACAATTGGAAGCTGTGTAGTTAGTCATATTTTAGGAGGCTAAATTAGTATTTAGACCATACTGAGTATATATATATGGAAGGTGGAGAGGTACATTATGCAGCTTGAGTCTTTTATATAGATATGTTTGATTTTCTTGTGGCAGAACTGGGTTACCACTGGAATCCACTGCAACTTGAGTGAATCCAGGGTGACAACAGCTGCCATCTGCCACGGAAGAGCAAGCACTTCAAAATGTTCAACTTTTGAGTCACCTTTAAAGCGAGTGTTCAGTAGCGCCCATCTATGTCAGCATGATAAGCACTTAAAAATCAATGTTGCTAAAAAAATGTGCTATTGTACAAATACTATTACCTTGATTGAAATGGGACAGGAAGGAAAACCACACTTGGCCTAATCATTACCCTTTCAGTCCCAAAATATTTACGTGAAGGAACACCCCGTTTCCTTTCTAACGACTAACCTTGATGAGAGATGAAAATACTCATGAAGCACGAAGGGTAAATGATACAAAAGCAACGAGAGAGGTAGAAAAACAGTATGAAAGAGTGAACACCAGAAAGAGAGGGAGAGACAGCAGATAAAAAGGGTATAGAAATGGCAGGATGGGACATTATGGTAGAAGAAATGTGTTTGACAAGTGACCTTTCTAACACATAAAGCCAGAACAATGGTCCATTATGTGCTATTGTACCCGCTGTGTAATAAACCTTCCTCTAAGCGGTAATGCTGACACAACTGATAGACCACAGTGAAAGGCAGGAAGTACATGAAGGGAGAAGGTCCAATGGGATAAGATGGCTGCTGAAAGTGCCTTTGGATTGATAACACTGGAAATGTTTTATGATTTGCCAACAAGTAGCTTTAGCCAGTTCTGAAGCACTTACAATCCAAGGGAGTTACTGCAATAGTAGGTCAAACCAGCTACCCAGAGGGCCCAGGACATTATATATGTACATCTGGACATTTTAAGAAGAATCTCTCATTGATCTATGTCACTGGGTTGACACTCTTAATCTAGAGCAAGAAGTAATGGTACTAAGCAAGTGTCAACTGAAGTTCTCTGACACAAATTACATGGTACACTACATGCTGTATAGATTGAACTTGTAACCTTTTTTGCCATATGACACAGTCACAAGCAGTGTTGAGACTTAAGTACTGTTTGAGTCTACAGAAGATTTTTGATTAAAAAAAAATTCAGTTTATCCTGACTCAACTTTTTGCCAGAGTCCAAACCACTATGTTGGCCAATCAAACAGGCTCAATTACACAGGCCAGGAAGTAGTTTTGTAGTACTCGAGACCGGTCTTGGTCTTGAGACCGGTCTTAAGACCACTTGATGGTCTTGCATTTGTACTCTGTCTTGTCTTGGTCTCGGACATTGAGGACTCGGGATTGACCTTAACTTTGGGAATATCCATAAATTGCTTTTGCATTGTCTAATTTATTTGACATCCTAACTTTGATTGGTTGTAAAACTTATTGCTTCAAATGCAACCAATAACCCTTGTTAAAAATGTGTTGTTGAATAAAGATGGTTAAGTTGATTTCAGCTCTTAGTGTTTGTATGTGGGTGTTTTAATGGGAATGTGGATCTTTCAGATCAGTTTGAGAAGTACCTGTGATCTCGTTCCACATTTTATTGCGTGTCATGTAATGTAGGGAACTGGTCTTGGTCTTGACTCGGTCTCGCCCTCCCTCGGTCTTGGTCTTGACTGGTCTCAGCCCCTAAAAGTCTTGGTTTTGTCTCGGTAAACTCTGGTGTTGGTCTTGACTTGGTCTAGGTTTGGGCGGTCTTGACCACATCACTACCATGTAGACCTATTCCTTGTAGTGTCTGCTATATTGCATTGTACAAAGCAAAGGAAAGTATACAGGATCTTTTAACTGGAGTGAAGTAACTTTTTATCAATAGTCATGATGTGCACAACTGAATGGTCTAATGGTATATTTTTAGGGATCCGTCAACATGTAATACATCAGTATTGGCCAATGTTTCAATTATTTAAATGAAAAACTGCACTGGTGCATTCCAAGATAGTCAAAACTTCATTCAATTGCTGTGAATGTTTCCAATCAATGATACTATCCGATTAAAGCCAAATACATTTTAGTATACCAAATGTGCATGTTCACCTGCTCTGAAAAAGGACCATACATATCTCCCCGCAAACATCAGTGTACTGTCTGGACTGTCAGTCTAGATTTGTTTGTCTGGCTTGGGGTTGGAACCACTGGGACCCGGGATTTAAACCTGCAAGGAAATCCATTCATCTAGTCAATCACAGCTGGATTAATCACAGCCTCTGGCTGTGGCCAATCAATAGGTGCCGAAGCAGCCGGCTGTACCTTGGGAGAGCAGTCCGGTGAAACACCGCTAACTGGATCGTTGATTAACACCAACACAGCCACAGTCTTCCACATCCTCAGTGGAATGTCCCCGTCAATATCAGTGTATCTCAGCTGGTGGTTACATACAAACGAGAAGCATGCTTGTTCTTTTCAGGTGCTTGGGGAGGAGGTAGGCTTGCTGAGTCAAACACATAACAGTGAACAAAATAATTAATGCACTGACTTAACTGACTGAACTACTGTCAGACAATCCTAAAATAGTTCCTGCTCTGAGAAGTTCCTACCATAATTTGGCAGATTTTTGTCTCTCATGTATCAGGGTTGTGTATATCTACTTTGTTGGGAAGTCACTGTAAATCTGCAAAATGCGTACAATAAATGAAGAAAAGGGTGCATGTTATCTGTGTCAACCAAATACCTACATTTTTTAAATACCACAAAGTAGTCCTGAATAGGCTTCAGTGTTTGAAGTTCCGTCAGGATAAAAAATGCATGTAACTCCATCTTTTGAGGACAAGAAATAACAGAGAAGCCATGGATTGAATTAGCATACAAAAGGACCATTCTGAACCTTTAACAATATCCAGCGTAACAATCAAATCATTTGACGTGGCATTTGTGTTTACCTTATGCCAATTAAAAATAAAGACTTGGCTATTATCATATTATTGGACTTATTATTGGAAAAAAGAATTACAAACCAAAATTTCATAACGAGTAACTGCACGGAGTAATGATTCCTGCCCCTACACCAATAGCATGGGAGTTAATTAACTGGCAGGGCTGTAATGGCCTTGGCATTTATAAACCACCGCCCCAAAAAACTGGCAGGGTGCCCAACTGACATTTAGTGTAGTTTGGTGAAGAGGGAGGGAGAAAGAGAGAGCGAGAGAGAGATGCAGTTAGAGACTTACTGTCTTGAGGCTATTTCTATTCCAGAAATGATGGGTTCTCTAACCTTCCCATTTTTTTTAAATACACAAATTCTTGATTTATTAAACCATTAACAGAGTGCTATTGCACAAAAGTGTTTATTTGCACAGTCGAAACATTTTGCTTATATTCTTTCAAATGTCAAAGAGGGAATTCCTTCAGTCTGACTGTTATGCTAGACTAAAAACACTTCCTGAACTATGGTCAGGACCTCCAAGACCACGTGTTTCCATCTCATCTTCCACTGGGCTCATCATGCTGCAGTAGCAGTAGTAAAATCTACAGTTCTACAGTCTGTTTTTTGTTTAACATGCCAATGCCCCAGTGCACAAAACAAGGTCCATGAGGAAATGGTTTATTTGAGTTTGGTGTGGAAGAACTTGACTGCCCTCACAGAGCCCTGACCTCAACCCCATCCAACACCTTTGGGATTAACTGCAACGTCGACAGCAAGCCAGGCATTATTGCCAATCATCTCCTCACTATTGTCCCCGTAGCTGAACAGGAACAAATATGAGGGCAAATGCTGTCCACATACATTTGGTTCCATAGTGTGTATTAACTGATACTAAGGGGAAAAAATTGTCAACACAAACTAAATGCATGGAATGAATTTTGCAGTCAACTCACCTTAGAATTTTAACTTCAGTGAGCAGGTAGAAGGGAAGCTGAAAGGGGCAAAGGAGGGGAGACAACCTAGAAGCTTTAATTTAGAATTGCACTTTGTAACTATGATCAAGGCTTTTTAAACCATGAGGGGTTTAGCTTAAAAACATTGTGAGTGATACCCAAGAGAAAATAAATGCTTTCATTTGTTTTCACTTTGATTCATATTGCTCGGTAGAGCTGCAAAGTTATTAGACATTATATAATATTAGACAATTTCCCCCTTGTTTGATACAAGATACCAAAATAATGGTAAAAGATTGCACTTTAGGACTGGGTCGATAGACGATGCCATCATCCATTAGCGACGGCTGACAGACATCACAACGTTGAGCCGGCATCGTGATTGTAAAACCCCCGCCCCCCCCAGCAAAAAAGTCTCAAATGTTCACATTATACCACCCTGTGAAAGCAGCTTTTAATGACCACGAACATTCTTATTATTGTTTTTAAGTATGCTTTGCCCCCACCTTGGGATTCTCTTTTCCCCACACTCTGACACACTCACACACACCGGCTTGCCCCCACCTCTCTCTGTCTCTCTCCCACCCGTCTGCTCCATTTTCTCCATCAGCAGAATGTTTTAGAAAGTCGCCGAAAAGACTGAGAACTCGTCTTTTTTCCGGTTTCAAACAACTGAAACCAACATCTGCACCCTGTGTGTTCACTGTTGCTTTACCTGGTCCGTGTGTAAAATATACACCGCGACTTGTAAAGTAAGTTAATAGTCTATCAATTGTTTTTACCGAGTGAAATCTGTGCGAGAACACATGCACATAAGACGACTGCTGCGTACCTGCGCGCCCGATCACATTGTCCATCCCGATGTCTCATTGTAGACATCTTCTGATGGAATCTTTGTAGACATCGCCCAACCCTACTGCACTTACATAGCTTTTTAGTAGTCTACCGATCACTCAAAGTACTTGATACTACAAGTCAACATTCGCACATTCATATAGTGACAGCAGAGGCTACCATGGAAGGTCCCAACTGCTCATCTGAAACAGAAACTAACATTTCACACACTGATGGCCATCAGGAGCAATTTGGGGTTCAGTATCTTGCGCAATGCCACTTTGACATGCAGACTGTAGGAGTCGGGAATTGAACCACCGGCCCGCCCCCCCTCCCGAGCCACAGCCCCTTTAGCAAAGCACACGAGTGTCCAAAGTCAAAAGGACCTTCACCACTGCAGCAAAGAGCAGAAAAACAAAAAAGATCTCATAGCATTTAGCGTGTGCTACATCATGAAGGCGTTACCTCTCCTGCTCCATCCTCATCTTCATCGTCTCCTCCTCGGAAACCTGTGTCTCCTCCAGCTTCCACTTGCTGGAGCCTTTCCGATCCATCTTTTCTCCCTGCCGCTCGTCCTTACGGTGCTTTCCAAATCTGGAATACCAAAACAGGCACAATCAACATCTATTGGTATATTTATGGCACTATGCTGTAAGGTTGAACTAAAACAACAATCATGTATTTTTGTATATCATCTTTGTTTTAGCTGTTGTAATCAAATAGTCTGCCGAAGTCAGCCAAGTGACGAGACATGGATCAGACAGTGGATGGAAAGTCAGAGGTCACAGAACCATTTCAAGGAAATCTTTTAAGTAATTTAATATGAAGACATTCATTTCTTGTGACTTCGAATGAACCAGCTAGGTAAAGCTCATAAAATGTGAAAACGGATCTGACTGAAAATGTTTGTCTGTGATCACAAAAACCCCCAACAGGCACAACTTAACAGCCAATCAAGCACTCAAATAAATCATTTGAAAAGTACTTCTCACAAGTTTAAACCCAATTCAGTTCATTTGAAATTGGGGAGTGGTTGGGAAGATGGCGTAGACGCGGTGTATCACAGTAATTATATTCATAGGGAGGGAGTAATGCTTAATGAAATAGGAGCCATTGCAGAGATATTTCAGCTTGATTGACTCGGTATAAAGCTGCAGCCTGTTGAAGAAATGACTTTGGCACTGCGCTCGCTTCCACAATGAACCTCCATGATTATTCACAAGGAAATTGGTCCGCAGAGAATATCTACGGCTTCTAAAGAGACAACACTGAGAGAAACCAAAGAGGAGTGTGTGTTAATGAAAGAGAGAATACGGTGAAGGAGAGAGGAAAAAATGAGCACGCGCTCAAGAAACTCAATGAATGAAACATTACAAACAAAAACTAAAGTACAGTAAAGAACACAAAGACGACCTCAAGGTGTGTGTGTGTGTGTGTGTGTGTGTGAACGTGACTGAAGAAAAAGACAGAACAAGGTGGGGGGGGGGGAGAGAGATAAAAAGAAAGTGAAGGATAGAGAGTGACAGGATCAAATATAACATGCAAACCACAGAAGTGAAAATCCCAAAAGAGGAGCTTGAGTCTGTTCAAGGCTTAAAGAGATAGAGTGTAAATTGAATTTGAGTTACGAGAAAAGAAAAGAAAATGCACGCTGAGTTGTCAATGACAAAAACATACAGAGAAAGAACAAAAAAAAAACAAAGCGTATGAAACTGCAGAGAATGTGTAGGTGTGTGACAAGCACTAAGAAACAAAAGAGAAAAGACAACAACACTGAATGGGAATAAAGGTGAGAGGAAGAAATGAAGGGATCATATTCTCTGATGTGCAGCATCCTGGTGGCCTAGTGGACTGAAGCCCAAAAAAACAACAGACACAGAGCCTGCCAGAACACGCCCTGCATTGCTTTGGCATCAGTGTGAACACACTCAGCGCATGCTGCACACAGATTCTACACAGAGGTTCAGCATCTGGTCTTTTTGTTGCCCACCATGGGCAGTTCTCACATAAATATGCGAGGCCGGCATTAGATGGCTACTGCTGAATCGGGTTTTTCATCATAACATGCGCTGGTGATTTGTCAAACCGGGTAAATCTATGTGACAGTTATCCGATGAGAAAAAAAAATGCCTAATTACATAAATCAACCCTTTCATTTTTAAAATAATTTTTTAAAAACACAGTGCTTTAAATAATACAGCCATATATAATAAGAGAGAGCAATAACTAATAAAATATAATCAATAATAATTAATAATCAATCAGTTAAACATAAGCAACAACATACCTGTAAAACAGTCAATAAAACATTAGCAGTAATGGACCTTAAAACATGCATGCTCGAATACTTTAGAAACCACGTGGCAAGGCAAAGGCCAGCTTAAATAAAAGAGTCTACAACTGTTTTAAAAGGCATCGACAGAGACCACAGAACATTAGTCTAAAACAAGCGTTACTTTCCACGTTTGCAAGTACGCAAGGGACCGCTAAGGTCCGTGTGACGAAAAAAAGTCATCAGTGTGTGAATGTGTAGGCTCTGTACCGACATCCGGACTGCGCACCAGGACACCAACCTATCTACCTCGCATGTGCGGAACAAGTCCGCCAAGCTGACTCCAGAATGTAGTATAAACAGATGTAGTCCGCTTCGGTGGTGTCCGCAGCTGTCTGAGTACGCGTACAATTTGAAGTATATTCCAGGCTTAAGGAAGGAGTATTCCACAGTGTCAGAGCCACAACCACCTTTGTGTTCAGTTGAGCACGCAGAACTGGTCTGAAGACCTAAGTGGCTTAGTGGTGATATACGGGTGAAGCAGGGCGACAATGTACCCAGGTTCCTGACCATGCAGGGCTCTATTTGTGAAAACTAGCACCTTAAACTGAATCCTGAACCTGACAGGGAGCCAATCTAACGATGACAGGATGGGTGCGATGCGACTTGTCCTGCTAGACCTGGTCATCAGCCGTGTCACCATCCCAAATTGTTTGTGTGGGGACCTTTGTACATTTTGTCCCCCCTCTCCCATTCAGAATGTGTAGTCAACGTGACATAGGCTCTTTGATAGAAATTTGTGTACGCATGAAATGCATCTGTGGTGACCCAATGGTATTTATGATGTGTTGTGGCAGTGACGCAACAAGCAGCTCACGTTTCCATGAAATAGTTCACTTTACCATTCAGAACAGCTCCTTGTTTGTACATTGGAAAATTTCCCAGAACCACTGATTGCGTGAAGGAGATTGTTCCTCAATAAAAAGTATCTATTAAAAATCTCTTGTGATCAACTACTAAAAATGTCCCTGATGTAAGTGTCACTGCAAGTAGAAACCCACAAATGACAACAGATTCTGATGACGCGGAGTGTAAAAGACAAACTTAGAAAAACCAAGAGATGGCAATGGGGAGGAGAAACCGCAGTAAGCAAGCGGGGGTGGGGGGGCTTGGAAACTAAGGTCCATTACCTGATTAATTTAACTGCGGGCGCCTGAAATGCTCAGAGTGACAGCTCACTGTTAATGCTAAGAGCAGGAGTGATCTATCACGGCGAGAGACGGTTGACACTTTCTCTCTCCACACCACTAACTTTCATTAACAGCCCCTTAAAAGACAGCCCAACTCTCCTTGTCACACACACACAAACACCCGCACACCAAGATTTATGACTGAATGTGAAAACTTTGAATAGGAGACAGAGTATTAACCGTGACACCGGGGCACTTAATAATCTTATATTCCAGGCACAGTTAGGCCCGCCTCATCTTGTGAGCCCGACACCATCGATAAAGAGGCTTTGACAGGTTTCTGTGGTTTGAAAAGACAACTTCAAAATGTCAAGGATTCAGCTAATTTAATTCAGAAGGCCACCCATGTGTCACTACTAATCCCTTAAACAGCACAAAAAGTGAAAACAATTCCGGTGGTGTTGTGGGCAATTTTGGGTGACATATTGGATATGCAACACCACCGAAGTGGTGAATTTAGGATAACATCAGGAACTGATGTCACTAAAATATGATGACAGCATGATGCCATCCATGAAAGTGTCACAATATGATGATCCAAAAATGTCTGTCCTACCTTTATCTACCATTGTTTGAAATGCGAGTACTGCAAAATCAGTGCTGGATGAAACTACTGTGTTTCTTAATCTGACAAAAACCATTAACATGTTCAAAAAGGTCAGAGCTGATAACCTCTGATCAATAGAAGACCTAAGTCACATGCCTTTGGCCTTGGAGACCCAGGTTCGATTCCCCCTGTGACATCCACCAATGTGTTTCTGAGCAAGACGCTTAACCCCTAGTTGCACCAGAGGCGTGGATAAAAGTGTCAGTTAAATAACAAATTATTCTTTTTGTAAGTGTTGTTGAAGGATGCTGACAGAATGAACGTGACTCAATCTACTGCCACTCACAGGTCACAATTTTCACTTCTGTTTATGACAGGATACCACGAAAACAAGTGCCCATCAGCCTCAGTGTGGGATTAATTTGAACAGAGAATAAGGTAAGCCAAAATGACCAAGGGGATGACCAAGTCCATTTTCATCCGTCTAACACCTTCTTTCTTTCTCCGATATCTAACGAGCATTGCAGCCTCATAGGGCCACGGCCATATCTTAATTGAGACTAGCTCATTGCTAGTTACCATGAACACAACATTATCAGCAGTTTGTAAACTATGAACCCTACAAGCATCTTATCTTACATCATGTCCTATTCTGATTCTGTTCCCTATTCTGATTCTGTTCCTTTGAGAGCATGATGCACGATTGTCCCGCCATCCTACTAAAAAATTGCATGTGTGAGTTTCTGAGAAAACCCGTCGGCAGGCGGCAAGAACAGTCACACACTAAAACCACTGCAAAATTAGCACAGCCCTCGAATTTCTGGGCAACGACCACCGTTGCTGCTGCCAAGCTAACGGACTGGGTGTTGCTTCTGAGTCCAAGTGACGATCAGAGAGTGAGAGTGAGATAGAGAGAGTGAGAGAGATGGAAACGGAGTTGGAAGGCTGCGCTGTTGGCAGGGGTTGATGGTAATGAGGCTTTGATTGGGACCGAGTGTGAGGCCTTCGAGACATGAGAGGGTCAGTCAGTGGCAGCTCTGTTGATCACACACACACACACGCGCACGCACACACACGCACACACACACACACACACACACACAAACACCTTCCTCTGACTTTTACAGGCCTCACTTCTGATCCACCCCTCCCACATGCAAACACACATCAAAGTACAACCTCCCTGACACTCCTGCACCAAAAGCCCGCACTCACTCATTCACACACACACTCTCTCTCTCAATAACATGACACTCATCGGGAGCTCTTGATGTTCTGCAAAGCCACTCAGGGGAACTAACTTGCTCACATCACATTTGGTCGTGTGATAGGGCCGCACTTTTATATGCTTTTATAAAACAGTAACGGTGCTCTCGACACATCCACCCTCTGTGTTTTGGGCCAGCACACACATTTGCATTCTGTTTCATCATGACATGTTGATATGAACACAAGTGAAACATGTCAGACTTTCCCCTTTCACATAACATATTTGTTGCTAAGTGCTCACTTCTGTGGTGCTATGCTAAACTGTAGCTCCCACATCTCACCTGTCAATCATACAATGTGGGTGTTACAAGAATGCGCTTTTCTTTGGATTTTATGTTAATTCTGCTTTGAGCTTCTGAATGCGGTGCTTTCTTGTTTTGTCTTGGTTTTTCGTTCAGGTTGAGAAAATCCCTATTAGGTAATTGACCCATTCCTTTTTTCTACTTGAATAGCAAAAGTAATGTCAATAATATAGAAGTTTAAGGAATCTACATGTAAAAACGGCAAAAATGACCTGCTAGGACCTTAATAAAGCCCCTGTTGTTCACTGAATGAAGAGTATGCAGTCCGTCTATGCTAGAATACTTTTAGGAATAGGTAAATAAAAGGAAAGAAATTCTTAAAACCAGATTCTTACACAGGGACTTTCCTAAAGACATAAAGATAATAAAGCATGACCCAACCAAAGGCACCTGTCATGAAAGTTAATACTGTGCTCGAGTGATTCACATTCCAAAACAAATGCTCAACCAAATAAGCAAAAATGAAATGACGCTCCCTATTGCTTGGGGATTTTAGTGCCTCTGGTGTTTTGGCAGCCAGGGCAGTTGCTCACTTTCTAAAAGTGAAAATCCAGCCATGTCATAGTAGAAAAATCATTCCATCTTTTCATCAAAGGTCTATTCCACTGCATATATTTAAAAAAATATATATATTTTATATATTTACATAAAAACAATCTTTTTGTTTTCAGTGAATATCATGGAAAACACCTTTAACAGTTCAACCTAATTTAAAGTAAGTATTAACAGAATATTTCTTCTAAAATAATGGATAAGTCAGTCAGCTAAATGGGAGTTATAAGTGTGACTGTGTGTGTATATAACTTTAACCTCGCCAAAAATGCAATATTTGGAGGGAATCACCAGGCTTTTGTTTTGTGTTTATACTTAATAATACTAGAAATGGTAACTGCATCACATCCTGTATTCCAGAGGAGATTCTCTGGTTCCAATCTACCTTACATCACGTGTTCGGATAAGAAAATGTTAACGCTTTTATGAACTAACATGAATCACAAGTGTGCTGTGGCAACGGTGAGGTAACGTTTTGGTGTATTATTAAGTTGAGTTTGCAATCCAGACAAGATATACACATGAGCTGAATACATCTCCCATCATTATTTTGGAGCACGCAGCTGTCTCTGCCAGTAAACACTGGGCGCGGATCAAACAGGCAGTCGGACAGCGTTTTAATGGAGCAGACCTGATGCGGCCAATATTGAGCCAATCAGAGCACTATTACACTGATGGTCTGACAATACACACCAATCGTTATCATCTGGGAGGAGAAGTGGAACACGGGATTTTAGTGTATGTCCGCGTGTGTTCGAGAGGACTGAAGATTACTGCAGCGTGCGTTTGTTGGTGATCAAACTGTAGGTGTGGGGATTTCTGAGTAAACGTATTTCAAAACATTTCTGCAAGTGTGTACATACAGTATTCTGTGTAGATATGTGTTCCCTACTAATTATCCAGTGTGAATGAGCATGAACTATGCCTGCATACACAAGTTTGCAGTATTTGTCCATGTGCATCCCACTGATTACTCTATTATGTGTGTCTATGTGGCTCTGACTGCCTTCCACGAGTCTCTTCTGCTCTTCTAGAGGTGTCATTTGTAGCAATCCCACCTGTTTGACACAGAGCGCTACTGGCTTCAACCCTATGGTCCCACTGAGAGCCAAATAGCTCCTGAAAGGCCATTCAGTGTTCTCACTCACAAACAATACTGTCCTCTGTCCTCAGTATCTAACAAAGTCTTACAGCATTTATGGGCTTAGGGACGCCATAAAATGCCAGAAATACAGATTTTAGAGGTTGTGTATTTTTAATTATTAGTGATACTGAGAGTTTATTTTTTAGATTTAGTTTATACATGTTGATGTAATAGTAGGCTCACCCTGGGCTAAGTATTGCCTGAAGAAGATGTGATGCTATAAAATCTTAGTAACATCCAATTCTGTCTGTGGGTGTTTTTTCCATTCAATTGGCAACAAATATGACATTAGTTATCAGTTAAATAATCTTGATTTAAGGTGCACTTACTAGCTTTTTCTAGCGCTTTCAGTTGTCATCAGGTGACCTTTTCAATATATGACCTAATCGCCTGAGGCATCTCAATGACAGCTGAGATAATGCTCTGCTGATGAAGACTGTGAGAAGGAGCTGAAAGCTCCAGATAAAGCTAGCAAGTGGATGTTGAGCATAGATTATTTGCCAAACTGCAATTTCAAGAATAAACATTTATACTCAAATGGCATTTGTTTAAAATAAGTATAATTCACATGCATTTTACAGCTCACTTGATCTATCTCTCTTTGCTTTAAAAAGGGAAATTACAATTATTAGACTTCAATCAGTCTCTGTCGTTAAGTTTCTGTCTCTAACAACATTCCTTTGTTTTTCCTTCACTACCCACTGCAACCAACTGCACCTCCCTTTCTTCCATCTTTCCTTTCTCCCTCCATCTCTGTGGACCTCATTACCTTCCTCTCTCACACTAGAGTCACTGTTTTCCCTTCCCTGTCACCGCCACTTTGGCTAATATGATATACAGATATATTACTGGAGGCTTCCCAACTGACCAAACAATGTGGACAACAACTGTAATGGGGAGAGAGAAAGGGGGGGAAATATATAGACTATACAGACTAATAAGATGTTTGAGTAAGTGCATAAGAGAGAATAAAAAAATATTACAGGTTGTCCATATAACATGCATACCAAATATATATAGTTTCTAGTAGATTGTGTACGTAAGTTTCCAAACTATAGAGAAAGGTACAGAAAGTGAACAATTAAGAATATTCAATAAAGCACAAAGTACAACCAAAATGCCCTTGAGGCAGACACTGAAGAGACTTGCTGATTGTTCTACTGCAAAAGACTGGAGTTTTGGCATACATTTCAAAAGCCTAAATAAAATCTTGCCATTAAACACAAGGAAATACCTTAAAACATATAACTAAAAGTGACTTATGTACTTGTTTTGCTGCTTTGTAACAGGCTGGTTCAGTAAAAACCAAGAATAATTTCCACACAACTATTTTTACAGTCTTACCTGAACATGTCCCCGAGTCCTTTCAGCATGCCCTTCTTGGCTTTTCCCTTGTCTTTCTCCTTCCCTCCATCTGGCTTCTTCTTCTCCTTCCCTCCCTTGTCTTTGTCTTTCTTCTTCTCCTCTTTGGTGCGATTAGTGCCGTTGACCAGGGGTTTTTCAGAGCCGGACAGCGGGGTCTGGTCGGCCACAGTGGACACAGAATCTCTCCCTGATCGTGAACTCTCCTCTGTGTCCTCCTCCACTGGAGAGATGGAAAGACATCAAAGAAGGGACAGAGGAAGAAACATGGCGGAGAATGTAAAACATCTTCTTTTCAACCTATTAACCAAACCCAGGTAATTTCAAGTAGAAGTGTAACACATACTCAATAAGCCTAATAAATGAAAATGTGTGGATGAAAACTCTCATAAATGTGAAATGTCTCATAGGTGCCAAAAGAAGCCTAATGCAATTTAATTACATATTACAAGTGATTGAAGAGCTCTGTTCTACAATGAAATAGTAATCATTAGAGACCATTAGAGACTGACTCTTAAAATTATGAAAAGGAATACATTAATTACTCTTTGATGGCACGGCACTCTAAGAAGATATGAGATCAACTTCAGATTAAAAAAACATCAGGTTATTTGGGCTCTAAACCTGATATAGTACCAGACAATCAAACTCTGAAAATGGTTTCTTTTGCGGTATGTAAGATTAAGGAAACCAGCACACTGATGTTTCATTCCCTATTCTAATTTAATCGTATGAGGACTTGACATCTGTGTTTGAAACATTTTGAAGTCATGTCCACATAAAAAGGAACAAGAAATCAGACACTATTGTGTGGGTATTTTGTCATCTCATATACGCATTACTACATAATTGCTACCTATCGCGTGCAACAAATAAATGGGTGTACATGTTGGCTTTGGAAATTATACCCATGAAAATGATGACTCTACATTTTGTTTTCCGCATTTATAAAAGCTTTAGATCAAGCTAATCAAAAATTTTGCCCTTAAAAGGAAGCATTAAAAAAAAAAAAAACCTAGATACAGAGACTTATATATTGTGTGGTCTAATGCAATGACTCTGGAGGAAGGCAGCTTAATGTGCGACCAATTTCCAGACAAGAAGATTCTGTCTATCACAGAACCTTACCCATGCTCCTGACTCATCCTCTTTAAGATGCCTCATATTGACAGTGTGAGGACACGTAATGCAGCAGATAGTTATATCCTGAGACAGCCATGTGCCATTGCCACAAGCAGAGATAAAATCGGCTGCCAGATATTAAGCATTAGTCAGAATGCTGTCACTCCCGTGCATCAGTATGGTAGACACATCCAGGTTTTAGTGGCTGTCACATTATCATTTGCAATATCAGTCCTTTTATTGATTGCCGTTGTTGTGTTAGTGTCATCTATAAACCATAATGCAATGTCACTCAAGTCATCATTGCACAGTTTCATATTTCAGACATGTTCAAGAAGTTATATAGTGACTGAAGTTCCTTGCTGAAGGACGGTGACAGGCCTCCCAACTGCTGATGGGTACGATACTTCGGCGGTCTTGTTAACTGTTGGCCGATATGCAAAGGGGGGATATCTTACATGTCTCCATGCCCTCATCATCTTCTTCCGTTGCAGCTGGTCGGTCGTAGGATTTGTCGATGGCTGCTCTGAAGCTCTCGTTGCAGCCCCGCCCCCTGATTATACGGGGTCGCGGCCTGTGGAAGGGGAGGTCCCCATTGAGGGTTACCTCGGCAACAGCCGTCTGGAGGCTCTCGAGAGAGCTGGACTTCTTTAAGCCTAGTGATGGTCCCACATCTTTTGTGGAAGAACCTGATGGGAGGATACAGATGGATGTAATGTAGAAAAATTAATGAACAATGATGGCCCCGTCAAAGTCCCCCAACAGCATATCTTAGTCTTACCTTTACATAACAGGTTTCATCATCGTATCTGTCCGGAATCAATGTGTACACATTGGCTTTGGTTGTAATTAAAGCTATGTTGATACATTCTCAAGGATCAAGGATGATGTAGCGCAAGAGCAGCAGCATTATAATGAGTTATGTTACAACATGACTTTACAGGAGGATTTAAGGACGATGGATGGAGAAGATGATTTTTTTTCTGACTAAGCAATGTGACACATTTTTCACAACAGGCAACTTCCTGCCAATTCCAAATGACCAACTACTAAAGCTGTCCAAGTATGACCTCAGAGACTCCACTGCTGAGTAATTTTAGTTTATGGTGGATTCTGGGATTTGCTCCAGCCAGCCTCACCAGGACTCTCAAGGTGAACGTCCACTGTATGTCATTAGCGCACGGAGGAAGTGTGATGACAACAACACCGAAGCTGACAAACCTCTTCATCAGGCTGCGTTCCCTAATTTTCTTTTTGTTTTCGTATTTTTGCTTCGTTCTGCAGAAATGTTACTTAAATGCAACAACACCATTTCAGAGATACTTTGTATCTCTCTTTCTTTCTTCATGAAGCCTAGAGTTGGCATCTTGGCCGTCGCCATCTTGTGACCGTATTTGGATGAGAGGCTGGAGCTGGGGAGGATACACATTGCTACGCCCGACAGATCTCTGTGGTAGCGACTTATCTATCAAAAGGTAGCCACGCGCTAAGGAACACCCTGCGTCTATTTTACTTTAAAGGACCATAATCTACAAAATCAACATCATGCTGTGTGCCATCATGCTATGCAACAACACACCATATTTTAAAGTTGGTTAATGTTTGTTTCACCAAGAAGGAAACTGATTGACTGTGTGTAATTGTATTTGTGTGTGTACAAATTTCATTACAAGAGGTGACTCTGAATGAAAATAACCATCAGCAAAATAGGAGAAACATGACAGTTTAATTAAACTAAGATTATTTGAACAGTGGTGCGGGCATAATGTTTGTTCCCATATGGCACCTTTCACAGGCTGAGAATGTGTACAGTGCCAAATAAATGTAAGATAAGGTGAGGAGGTATGGCGGTAAATGGAAGAGTCCTAATCCCCTGGGTGGTGTCACTTTGGAACTACTGTAGCAGAAGGCTGCAAAATACACAAGGCCTGACAGATTAACATGGGGTGCCATGAGGGCGGAGAGAGAATCAAAGAGAAAGAGACAGAAAGGAAGGAGCGAGGGAGGAGGAGAAGAATAGCACACAGTTTGGAGTGAAAGGAGGGGTGAGAAAGGAAGGTGAAAGGAAAGACCAAAGGAAAGGACGAAACTGAAATTGAAGATATATATTATATTAATAGTAACTAGTTAAAAAAGAAACTATATATTTGTGATGTTTTTATAGATTTGATTCATCAGCCAGAGCAAAAGGTAGTGTGTTTGGTCACATTATGTTTACTGTACTGGCTGGTTTTTGTGATTTCAATAATTATTTAAAGCATCAAGCACTTGGCTTTCTTTAAATCAAAGTAAAATGCCCACACAGTCAATTAGGGTAAAATATATTGAAATTTATTCAAATGACCTGCCAGGGATGTCGAATAATTTCAAATAGCTAGTCTGGAAACAAGCAAAAACTATTGAAGAAGCCGAGCTTCTTGTTTACAGTGAGACTGACCGCAAAAAGAAGGAAGACAGAGCAGAGAAAAAACAGAAATGGAAAATTGAATACATGCAGAGTGAACAAGCTAGTGGGTTGGCGGCCTCCCATTCATTCTCATCAGTCTGTCCTGTTCCCTTAACGTCTCACTGAGAGCTGGGCAGATAGGCTTTTTTTTTTGGCCGCACACCCACTTTATTTAAAGGCTTTGCCCAGCGCCATTCTCTACAGTCACACTTCAACAGCAGACTTAAAAAGAAAAAAGAAAAAAAAAAAGGATAATTTACACTGTGTTGGAGATCTGACAAATGGCATTTTTTTTCTTCTTAAATAGACATTTTTGTGAACCACTGAAATGTGAAACAGTGTGCTCATCTTTTGTCTTTTTTGTTTAGATAAAACATGCTAAATTGCAATAATCAGGTCTGGCAACACACCTCACATACAGCGTCTGACAGAAATTTAAAAAGACAGCTAAATGGATTACTACAAATCTGGCAACCAGTCAGTCAGTTCTGAATAATCTGTGTCAGTGTGTTTGGACAGAGTGGCACTCCTACTTATCTGCAGATAAACATGATCCCACCAAGTTCAGCAGTGACAGGCTTACAATAACAAATACAGAGCTACTGTGTAGCAGCTGGAACAAGGAGAGGTCAGATTGGCGTTGACACCAGACTCACCTGGAACTGGCAAAAGCAGGGTTATTGATTCAGTCTGCATAAAGCAGATCACCTATCTTTTGATTTCTTTGCTCCTGTTATCTGTTGTTCACTGTGTAGTGACAGAGCATGCTAACTCAAGTTGGTTGTCCAAAATGGAGTATTTGGTGTCTGCAAAAGTCACATAAACACTACCAAATGAAAAGGTAGTTGGTAAGTTAAACAACAGGTTGATCCACTGTCTTCCAAATCAAATCGTCACACCTTTCCAGTCAGCTGGTTTTTATTACTATACTGGGCTAGTTCTTGGAAAATGGCATCCACATGAGAGAATCTTGTTTGTCTAAAAATGTCTATTGGTCAGTATAATGATGATCATTGATTGGAGGTCAATCTCATGTGCCACTATATTGCTGCTTGACACTTTTAAGAGCCACTTCACACCCACTGAGCAACACTAACCCACAACACGATAACACTGAATCCCGTTTCAGGAACAGCAAATAATAAAACCCCAGGAAATATTCTCTACTTCCCAAAAAGAATATAAACGGACTCGTAATGTGAACTTTGAGGGGATCACCCACAGGACGCCTTCTCACGGGGATTTATGATGTATCAAAAAAGTTCGAGAAAGTCTGCATGAAGTTCTGGACACTGAACCGCAACAATCCTGCGCTGTCCTCCATCACTGAAGTGTCCTCGTCTAACATGTGGCGGCGGCCTGTGTCAATAAACTCCTCAGCCGATCACAGCTCAGGAGACGAGGGCTACTATATATCCCGTCTCTCAGAGCTGTCACAGTCTTCGGTTTCAGCAGGACGGTTGTGTTTTGGCTTTGGTAAACGGACCATGGATCGTTTATACTTACTGAAGAGTAAAGATTTTTTTTAAAGTTGGTAAAGTGACACCAGGGGCCCCCCGAAGTGAAAATAAACCCCTGACACTTAAAAGACAAGGTGAAATCTATTAGCCCACAGCATTAGGGAATCTGAATGGGTATTTGATTACCCTGAGATCATTTCAGTGGAAAGGCAGATCACTGTAAAAACACTAAAGAACAATCTTTCATTTGCAGTGAAGGCAACTTGATTATCACCAGAAACAAGTGCTCTCACATCAGTTACAAGACCTCTTTCCATCTTTTCACACCTTTTCACATGTTATTGAGTCAAAGCTAATGCCACATCTACAGGTTACTGTAAAGTGCACCAAGACAGCTTCCTTCTTACACTCTCATCTTTGTGCTTCTCCTTCTCTACACGTCTTTCTTCAGCGGGATCTGTCCTTTTGTCCAAGTCCCTGATATAGAAGGCAGGCCTTCTATTCAGTCTTGGCGACAGAGAAAATACACAAGACATGACAATGACGGATGACTCCCTGTCAGCCCGCTGCCTTAACCAAGGACAGAGTGCTCTTTCTGCAAAACAATTAGTGCTACAGCTGCATCTGAGGCAAAAGGGAGAAAATCAAATCTGTAGTCACCCAACTGCTTTCACAACCATGTTCAGCTGCGACCTCAAACTGTGGCGAGGACTGCAAGTCTTTCCTCTGGAGACTGACAAATTTGTCTTGTCAAGTTCGCAAAACACCAAACACAGGGAACACTACATAAATGCATAAAGAGTCGAGCGTTAGATAAACTTTCTGAAACATAATCTGCACGTTAGCCACTGAAATGCTATTTGTAGATCAATATGTGTAATGGTATGTCTGCCATAGCTGTTCCTGTACAATTTGTGTCTTGTCCTGTACCAGTTATGGATCGATTTTCTGCAAAGCCACAGTGACAGGTTGCAGTTCATTTACAATTCTTGGGACAGAAACCTCTTCTAATTCTGGCACAAGTCTGCAGCTACTACAAGTGTTTCCCAGAGTATAATGTGCCATCAAATACAAACAATCCTGTTTATTTCTTATAATACAAAGAGAAAATGAAGGACTGCAAAGGTGGATCTGAGATGGTATGAAGGACCTGGGACGAAGGGGTATAAATTGGCTTTAACGCTGTGAACACAAAAACTGAGTGCCTACACTGATGAAGTAAAATTGTGTTTCCTACATCTACATGTAAAATAGATGTCTTGCACTTTTTATTAATTAGAAAGGTTGCTGAAGGCAAAGCATTAATAAGTTAAAAACAGAGGAATGTTTTGCCTAGACTAAATCAATGGCAAATGTCATGTTTATTCACAAAAGTGTAACACTTGACAAGGGAACAATAACCTTTGTCGGAGCATTAGCCAGTCTGAAAATCTGGTAAAAGGCATTCCCTTTTTTTATGATCTGCTCCTTTTATTTCCACAGCAAAATATTCCATCAGTACAACAACTTATTCCTGTCATACCTTCCACTTTGCGGCACAGAATTTCTCTTTGTGACATAAACTTCTGTTCTCGCGCACTAATTCATTCCAAATGGTGCTACTTTGCTTTTCGTGCGATCACTGTTAAGTTACGGTCAATGAAACGCTACTCTTCCTGCACAGGTATATAAAATGACAAAGCTGTTCAGAAGCTCATAGGGCGATGTGTCGGTGTCTTCGCATTTTCTTACTAGGCTTTTAATTTGAAACATCTGCAGGAAAGCGTTGAAAAAAACAACTGGGAAAAAAATTATGAATAAAAACAGTATTTCTCAGAGCAGCAGAGTGGTGAGTTTGACACGATTCTCTCGTTGGACTGAGTGCTGTGGATCAGTACATTATCAAATTCTAGTAGAGGAAACTTCAATTCTTCCAACCTTGCTCTGAACATTGTTCTCTGTTTTTACAACACCAGTTTTATTTGAGGATTTACAGTGCACAAGTCAGCAAATACTGTGCTAAATGTGATTGGATAGTAAAATATCATGTGGTATAGCGTTATAAAACAACAATACATCCTGGATAAATCAGCTCTCCTGGCGGCTTTTAATTGAACTTAAAGTCATATGCCACGTATATCCCTCAGTCCCAGGACTATAGATATGGATATGCACCTTGAGAACAAATGGTGGTTATGCTGGAGATGGTTTTCAATTCTACCTTTCAGTGTACCGGCCCTTACCTGTGTTGGTCTCGGGACGAGGGGTGAGGTTAATCTCGTCGGCTACTGTTAAAGGAAGGGGAAGGAAAGAGGGGAGGGATACAAACATTTGGGGTTCAGTTAGTGCTCATGACATTCCACATGCAACATCCAGGTAGCGCTGCAAACATCACAAAAGGCTTCATCTCAATTAGGATCGGACGTCATGCGAGACAAGGAGGCGGAGTGGGGGAGAAGGGAAATGAAAAGAGGGTTTGAGGATAGCAATCAGACTTGTTGTGATATCAACACGGCACAGAGCGGCAATCTGGTCGGGAAGATTAGATATGATTATAGAGAGTGTGAGCAGAGAGTCGGCTGCAGCCAAAGCAATCAGCGACTTTTCGAAGCCATTTCAAGGTGAATCAACACAGTGAAGTTCTTGACTTTGGCGAGAGATGCAAAGAGTCTGTTTTCATACAAAGAGGCAAGAGGGTGGAATACATTTAAATATAAGGAACGTGTCTGAAACATAGGGAGCGTGCAGGGCTATGTGCTCAAAGCTCCATGAAATCTGATTTTCTTAAGGTTTTACGGAGTTTAAAGTAGCTGAGGTGCACTGGGTTTATCAATTGACTCCATAGAAATATGAACACAAACCTTAAATTCTTAATTTTCCTAATGCAGTTAACCCAACACATCTTGTATTCTACGTTTGTTGGAGGGAGAAAAAAAAGGGACGTTTACCACTCAGCTTGGAAACTTTGTGATCCTGGGCTTGTATGTGTAAATCCCCCAGGAAAGACTGTATGTTATGGGTATGTATGCATGTATGTAAGTGGCCATGATTCATTTTATATTCACAACAACAATATGGGGCTGTGGAGAAACAGACAGGAAGGAAGGAAATGTGCCACAGATGTCACTGGCAGGCTAAGGAAGGACAAAATTACCTTTATGATATCTTACCAAAATATTGTCCATGGTCAATATAGAACCATATTCATTAAATGTGTGATGTGAACTACCTTAAATAATGGACTGTGCCTGTTGTTTAGCGCCAAATCCAATATTTTGTGGCTTTAATAATAATCTAATTTCACTATTACAGCTTTTCCTAAACTGGTATGGTAACTCCCACATGGCATGAACATGATAGAAAAATATAAATAACGAACAAGCCAACTAACTAATAATGTGAAACCTTAGGATAATCCCAGTGACTGAAAGCAGGTGGAGGTTTTCACACTCTACCTTCAGTCTTCTGCTCTTTGTCAACATGTCTTATCTCCCTGAAATCTAATGAGCATCTCAAATTATGGAAGGAACACTAAGGTTTTGAAAGTTGTACCTAGATCCATGCTCTTGGACTTGCGTGTCTTGATGATCTCGAGCTGAGTTGCGTCTCCAAACTGCTTGGTGCGCTTCTCTGACATGCTCTGGCGTCCAAAGCCTTCCCTCTGGAAAGCGGCGTCTGGATGATTTTCATCTGGACTCAGGGAGCTGGAGGGAAGGTTGACGGGTGTGAGAGGGGCACAAGGTGAGATCGACTTTATTGATCAGGGAAAATTGTCTCACAGCACTAAGAGGAAGGACAAGAACACATGACTAGTACAGAAAACTAACATTTCCAGCATCTTCTATGTAAAGTATGAAGACTTAAAATAAAACAGGAAGAAGAAAAAGAAACAAGAAAAGTCACCAAAGTAGCATGGACAGTTGAATGAGGAGCAAAAGGTTTCAAGAAACTTTAAAGAACCTCTCTTCTTTGAACTCACGCAGTTCAAAGAAGGTGAACAAGAGATGGAGGGAATCTAGGAAAGAATTAGAAGAGTTGAAAAAGTGGTTAAAAAAGTAAAAGGAGGGCCGGGCAATAAGAGGCGGCGGCAAGAAACAAATGATGGTAAGACAGTATAGTTGGGGGCAATGAAGGTAGAATTGAGAGGAGTGTGTAATACTGAAAGAAAGGAGAAAGACAGAGCTTTAGATTAAAAGAAAGTAAAGGAGCGGGTAAGAACGGCAAATAAATAATGAGAGGCGGCGAAAGAAAACAACTAAAGGGAGACCGACAAAGAGGAAAAAGCAAAAACGAAATGTAAAATCTCATTGCGAGGCAAAAACAAAGTGTGTGAGTGTTGAGTTGAAGCAAAATCCTAATAGGCAAGTCATGCCACTTGGCCGCCATCTTGGCAACGCCTCCGGGCAGCTATTTCGGACTAAAAAGACCAGGCTCCTATCTGAATGAATGGGGAGAGACCCTTACGTCAGTGGAACCCCACGATTGGCTGAAATACGTTTCCTGCTTTGGCTGTTAAAAGCAGACGATTGGCTTTCTAGCGGGAGGGGATAACCGCCATCTTTGCCGTTACGGGCTTTCCCCATAGAGTTGTATTGAGGAAGTGATTGAGTGGTGTGTCTATAAAACGTCTCCGGTTGAAGTCAACAGTGGTGCTACGGTTCAAACAGCAATGAAATAAAAATTTATCTTAAAATACTAACTGCATTGAAAAATTGCATTATGTTTGACAAGCTGATGGTAAAGGAGGTACATAAGGCTCTGAGGTAGGAATAAAAGTTTTGCCTACCTTTCAATCTGACTGGGCAGCTCTTTGGCCCACGGCGGCGTCACATCAGCAGTGAAAGCCACATCGTCGTGGGAGCTGGATGATGACTGGTCAGAGAGGTGGGGTGGGAAGAGGGGCTGCCGGTCATCCTCTATGATCACAGTGTCATCCTGCGGCATGTTGACGGTCGGTGAGAGCTGATAGTTTCCTGGAGGAGACATTTTTAAAAATTCTTTTAATCTTTTCATTTATCCATAGACAGTCAACTGTGTCTATCATGTGTTTCTTTAATGAGTTATCCTGTTCCTCCTACTCTGTACGCTGCCACGTGACCCCTCTATAATGTAGAGACAACAAATGGTTAATGTTCTTGTGTTAGTCCTTCAGAATCAAAGAGCAAAGGGCGTCTTTCTCAAGTCTAGTTTTGTCTGGTGCAAAACAATCATGTGGGAAGTCCATTATTCTAGAGACAAAAGGACCGATACAGATGCAATTAGAATAGATTCAACTGACCAGAACACAAAGGAGGCTGAGGATGTTACATTCTGAGTCTCTCTATTGGTAAAAGTCCCTCTCTTGCTCGTCCTATAGTATGAAATTGTCCCCACACACCTAAAAGCAACAGTTGATTGGATTTATGTGCTGTGGGAACAAATGATTTGAAAAAATAAACCAACTGTCATTATCAAATATTAAAAATATCGGGAAAACAAACAAAACAAGCCAAGGTGAATTTAATAAAAATATTTTATTTATTAAATTAATAATTATTTATATTTTTCAGGATATAAACGGCATGTGTCTTTTGTGCACAGATTTTCTGTGCAAATCAAAAAGGTTTTTGGACATAAAAGACACAGCTAGCCCGGTCCTTTCCACGGCTCAACGTATGATTTTAGAGGGAGATGCATACATTCATGGTGAAGCCATTTCTTTATAAAAACTGTTTTTCCATCTGCCCAGCACTTGTGTGTTCTGGTTGCCTGGCAACTTCATGGCAGCACCAATCTCACTGCAAAACCACACCACCACACCCTCAGGTATTGGTAGATGTATTTTTGAACTTTGGACAAAAGCTATCGGTTTCTGCTTCTAGTCTTTACACTAAGCTAATCACCTAGCTCCAGTTCCACATTTAAAGTTTATTTCTGTGTGTCCAAGTGTCCAAAGTATGGGATCATTTCAAGCTAAAAGAAAACAACAACTCTGTACAGTGTGTCTGGAGTAAAACAGAACTAGCCTACCGCAACAGCACAATGCTTCAGCATCTGTGCATAAAGCATCCAGTCTACACACAGAGCGGAAGAAAAAACGAGGTGCAAGCTTAATAAAATCACATTTGGTGTATCTAAGAGGTGCATTTTAATTTGCTTCATCAATAATGAATCCCCCCACAGCTGCTGATTACTCTACACAAGGACTATAATTACTGTTGAATGATGTGCAATGTGCATCTACATATGCATAAAATTAGTTATTTACAGATTGAACAGTTTTATAGTAGACTATGGTCTGACAAAATAACGCTTATTTCTTTCAGCTCCCAGGAGGATAATAGAAAAACTATATCATCTACCTGGGTATAAGCTTAGAAAAAGCTGGTCACTTCCCCAGCTCTCTGCACAACACCCTCAGGAACGCATTTATTTGCGACAACAGACTGCTGTATCAAGGTTAAGACTGCAGTAAATGTTTAATGGGCCAACTAGAAAAAAATTAAAATACAGGGTAACTTTTTAAAACACAAAACATATTTTGAAGTTTAAAAGCAGAGTGAAACTGCTCCTGGCTAATCAGCTTATACCAAGTAGAGTTTGGCAGCAGGCACAATGGTGTTCCTATGTCAAAACACTATGATTAATTCAAGCTGTGCCCTCGCAAATAAAGATAAAAACTTGTGCCTGTGCTGAGGCGAAAAAAATAAATAGTCCCCTTTCTCCTCCTCTGAAAAGCAAGGCTTAAAAACTCCCATTGATATGCAGCGCATGACTTTGTCTTTAATCTGTATTTTGATATTGGGAGCGGGGGGGGTCTCCTCGCCATCAAAAGAAGGGCAGCTTCCATGCTTCATAAAAGCCTTGTGTGCTGAGCTTAGGGAGACGGTTTTTGTCTTTAGAAAGTGTTTGGGCTTTAAAGACTGAGACCTGGAGGTCTGAGCCAGGCCTGCTGTTGGTTTCTCAAAACCGAGCACCAAGGGGACCAATGTGTTACTGGGTGCTGCTGCTTCCAGCCAGCGTGGGTGAATGACCTGATGTAAATGGAGATGAATAGAGAAGGAAAGGGGGGTCTAGGTGGCGTGACAGCCTGAGTTTGTGGGCATGCGTGTGTGTAAAGGTTATTGAAAAAGTCACTGTTCTTTCACTGTAACTTTCCTTAAATAATAAGAAGCAACAAGGTCAAACTCTATTGAAATTAACTCCTAAATGTACCTTGGACTTTTTTAAAACCCTGTTCTGGAAAAAAATACTATAGTAATGTGGCTACCACTGATGAAATAATCTCATTGATTTCTAGCACAGAAATGTACTTTTAAATTAGTAGTGTTGTATTTGCACTAGAAGACATTTTCACACGTGAACAATTATTCGGCAACTTGTATTCCTCAGGATTCATTTTAATGTTGAACAAACAATTTTCTCAGTAAATCTAAAATATAGCTAAACCTCAAACCTGAATGTTTAACTAAGGAAAAGTGACTTGTCTTGTTCAGGAAAATATACACTAGTGTGCAAGTTATAAGGAAACTATTAGTGTCCAGAATTATTAGGCAACTAAATTACCAAAACAATTATGATCAAATTACTTGTTTATTCTCAAGTTTTAGAGCAAGTGTAACAACACTAAATGCCAATTAAATAACATTGTTGGCCTTCTTTTCAGTAACTGCCATGAGCCTTCCATCTATGGCGTCTGTCAGTTTTCTTCACCTGTTCACCATCAACTTTCCCTAAAGCAGTTGTGTTTCAGCCCTCCTGAGCTTGGCCATGTCCCTGCGCACTGGCACCTTGTACTTCAGGACACTTTTTTGGCCATTTCCTGAGGAGGTTAAATGTTTTCGATGTTGACTAAGACAATTATGTGTTAGTTTCATAAGTGCTTTATTGAATCTGTTCCTACTTTTTCTATGATTGCGTGGTATGGAAACCTGAACATTAGGGACAAAAACCACCTAAACAATATTGGAAGTGTCTCACAGACTCCCCTGACCGCTATCTTTTACCAGCAGGTTCTTCTGCAAAAATCAACCTCTTCAATCTGAGTTTGTAACTCTTCCCTCAGGTCATAGATTTAGAGTTCCACGATTCAAGTGCAATAGGAGCAAAAAGACCTTTGTACCCTGTGCAGTAACCTTGCTAAATCGTCTCGGGTAACATCATATTTAGAGATTGTTTTAGGTTTGTAATGTGCGCCTATTTATAGTGTATTGTATGTACTGGTTACATTTTATTTTATTTTATTTTTGTGTGTGTATCTTTTGTGTATTTGTGCTGTTTATTCTGATATCCTTGAATGTTTTATCTTGTGCCCTGACTGCAAGTCAAGTTTCCCACTTGGGATAATAATAAATGAAGTGAACTTGAACAGAAAGTTTTGCAGGACAGCCAGGCTTTGAAGGTAGGGAGAATAAATTCTGCCACGGATGGACTTTTTTGCTGGCAGGCATTCTTTTTGAAGATGACAACAGAGAAAAGTATCGACATTCTATTTCTAAAAATGAACTAATAAAAGTATGCAAGAATGGGTCCGTATGTTTGTAAATCAGTGTGTTGGACAGTAGCTGCAAAAGTGTGTGGGAGCACGCCCTTACTGCATTAACTACAACTGTTACAGTGGTTTCAGTGTGTGTGCGCGTGCGTGTGTGCTACTTCAGCCCCCTCCTGCTGTGTGTGTTTGTTATTTGCTGTGAATTTGGAAGTCCGGGTGAGTCCTCTAGCACAGCATGCCCACTTTTCTCTCTCAGACCACACACATACGCGCACTTCTTATACACACATACACAAACACACGCACGTGCACTCGCAGAACCACTTAATCCCATTTCCCTAAGCAGTCCAATGCACGACACTGAGAATCCCATCAATGTCACAGTTTGAATCACTGCAATACAATCAACTGGCAGCTACTGAGTAGAAAACCAATGAATCTGTCAACTCACTAGCCTGGTAAAAAAAAGAGGAAAAAAGCCTCTTTGTTTCAGTGCCAGAACCCGAGGGCAGCCATCCGCCGGCAACAATAGCACTGCCATGTGGACGGAGCGCACACCCATCACCTGAGAATCAAACCAATAAACACACATTATCTTTCCCAGTGGCTGTAATAATTTCTGACTGAGCTGCAGTGGAACAATAGGTGGCATTTCTTTTGGGATTCTCTGAGAGGCTATTACTATTAGATGCCTTTTGTGCAAAACTACAGAACACTTGGGGGTAACAGTGGCAATGGCCAGGAGGGAAGAAGGGTTGTAGAAAAGATTTTGTAGATGAAAATGGAGATAGCAAGAGGTGAAAATAACACGGGGTGAAAGACATGCAGGAGTTTTTTTCCCCCTCTTTTCATTTTGTCTTGTCTCGGTCAATTTGCATAATTAGTAAGAAGGTTATTGCCAGGGGTGCTGGGCCTTGAAAGCTATTGGCCTGAAGGAATAATTAAGTTGCTCTCTTATCCCTGGGATCTTCAGAGTGCAGAAAGCCAGCAAGTGATCTAACAGTGTGCACGGGCCAAAACGCTAGCTGATATGTTCTGAATGTGAATGATGTTGTCTTCTAGGAAAGCCTACTGCAAGATTTATGCATTGTGGCACCCTTCCGATGAGAAAACAGAATTATTCCAAGCAACTGTGAAAGACCCCCAGCAGTCACACACACACAATTTTATTTATTCAAGGGAGGTTTGCTGAGCACGCAAAGCTCTGGTTTGTATTCACACACGTTCACATCTGGGAGCTGCCAAGTGCATCTACAGTCTTCTACTGTTGGCTTCTGAGCAGTTGCACTGCAGCAGCGGAGAGCTGGGAGTCTGCTTTTCCAGACCATTCCACAGTATTTAAAGTAGTCATGACACAACTGTCAATCACCACATTTATGTTAATCCACATGAAAGAACTACAAGTGGCAACAATAAATTAGCTTGTGCATTCACCTACGGTGATTCTGGTCCACACAAGTTAAAAGTTACAGATCCTTTGGCTTGTCTGTCATTATAAACTATCTATAATTTTGTCAGTGTTGTAATTTTACGTTTGTCTACTGTGTACGTCTATTGCATGCCTGTCCGTCATGGAAGACGGTATAAAGATAGAGGGTGTGGTATGCTGTACACATATTGTGCAAATAAAAATGGCAGTGCATTTTTAAAACTTGCCAGATTGTATTTTAAAAAGAGCCCGTGGCATCAAGCAGAGTTGACCAGCTCCACCCCTAAGCCTGCTGGCCTCTATCCTCCATGCTGAACACAGAGTGGCAAATTAAACAGTTCAAATAAAGCTTTAATCCTTCCGCTACATCTCCAATATCACTATGACACAAAACTACAGAGTAATGTTCTCAAAGAATGTCCTGCTTTCATATCTCGAGGTCAGGCCAAGCACATGGGAAGTTTTACTACCCACTTGATTTGGACTGATTCTGAAACAACATGGAGGAAGAGGATCCAAAATATTTTATATGACAAATTAGGGTTAAAATTCCCCCTTGGGTGGTCAGACAAAACACCCCACCAGGCTGATTAAGTTTTTAATGAGCAAGGAAATGTCTCATGTGTCTGTGATAGTTAGTAATTATACAGTGCACATCCCTCCAGAGGCTAAGCTCGGAGGTTTCCTGCCTCTGGTGTCCCATCTTGTTGAGGTTAGGTGAGATATTAGAAGAAACAGGCCACTCTAGGCACCCTGACATCTAATTCCCATGCTTAGTCTTGTCGATTTGAGGCGAAAACACAAAAACTCAGGGTATTTGATGGGTCAGGGGGCACACACAGTGTTTTTTTAAATCCTCAGAGGATGAGGTTTGGATGTCGCTAAACACTGTGACAGCACTGACATGAGGTCATTCAAAGGGAGCCCCTCTATGTTGTATAATCCTTCCCGTTCTTGTTAAGGTTGAGGATCGTATACTGCTCCACATTTTGGACAACATTTCATTTTATTTAAGAGGAGATTGGGGGCAGAGGGACAAATGCCAATAACAACTTTGTATTTATTCTGATATTTCTTTAGTCCTTCCTGTTTTGTCCTTCACTTTATCCTTCTTCAGTCCTACTGTATGTGTGTGTGTTTTGATCTTTTTCTTATCTTTTGCTGGAAATTTTACAATTTTATTCTAATTCTGTCCTCTTCATTGGCTTAAAGAAAAAATACATGTACCAGCACTGCATGTTTATTCCCAAATTCTTATTTTTTGTCTTTTACTACAGATAATTACAACACGGGACTACCGTTTTTGTTAGGGATGTCCCGATCAAATGTTTTTCGTCCTGATCCATGAAATTAAATTAAATAAATACCAGATGTAGCCTTCTAATTTTGGTACACCTTATTTTTCACGAGCTACGTGATCCAAATACTGAAAGTTCTGATTCAAAACTATTAAGTTGATCAGCTTAAAATACTGATGTAACATAAATGTTCTTATTTGCCCTTCTCCTTTCTATTAATCTGCAAATGGCGTTTTCAAGCCACAGTTCAAAATTCACTTTTATTCTCCAGCTTTCAGCTGCTGTTCCTACTGCACGGCTGGATATGTCCATATACTGGCAGCACCATGCTGGTTCGTAATGATTTCATGTATTTGCTGACTTTATACAGCACTTTGATCAACTCGTGCTGTTATAAAAGCACTGGGGCTGTAGATACAGACATCAGCTCGCCTGGTCGGTTTAGAGACAATGATCTTGTTTGCCACCGTTGAGCAGACAACTGCTGTATCTTCTGCATATCTGCCTTGTGCTTTCACTTCCGACCCTGTACGCTCATTATAAGCCCTCATTGTTTGTTAAGCATGGATGAACCCAGCTACAGTGGCAGCCTCCTGGAACTTCACCCATTAACACTTCCTCTGTCAGTCATAACTCACAACTTTGTTTTTTTTTTTTGTTTACACTAACAACAGTTTCAATGTCAACCAATTTGCATGAAAGGAAAACAGAGTTCACACTTTCACATTATGTTGCATTGATTAATGAGGTAAAGTTGGTAGGAGGAGATAATTAAAAATAAGATTAAAAGTTGGTGCCAACTCTTCCTCTTACCTTAATTTACATTTAAGGTATTTTGTGAATGTTTTTTTCTGGACTGACTATACATAATAATTCAGGTGTTATTTTAGTATCCCTTAAATCACATGGATAATTTTGGTCTTTTCAAAAAATGCAAAGTAAATAAACAACTGCAGAAGACAAAAGGTACAAAGGCAGTTGGGTCATTTTGTACTTGAATTAACTTTACACAGGCGAGCTGAGCAGTTTCACCATCTGGTGTACAGAAGAATTTCTTTGACGTCCATCAATCTTTCAAGCGCTACACACATGCATTCCTGTACAGATGTGTGCAGAGCTCTCACTCATGAATACACCCATAAAACCAACACCCCCCAAAAAAACAATCAATCACTTGCAGGGTGTCTGTGGCAACAAATTGTCCAGGAGATTTTTTCCATCTCTGTCTCTCTCTCCCTGACATTTTCCGAGACATTAGAAGCCACCCAGTCTTGACAGGAACTTAGACCAGATGGCACAATTAGCAGATATTCTGTGTTGACAAAACCTGGCAGATTAGTCTATAGAATCTACCAGGAAAACACACTTAACACTAACAGAAGGGACATGTAAACGCTACCACATAGTACAATTCTTAAATGGCAGCGTATGTATAATTGTTTGGAATCCTTACCGATATTCACCAAGTCAACAATACCGGTCTTAGCATTGGAACACAGCAAAGGCATCAGACTGAGATCCACCTCAGAATGCACATAAACCTCAACCAGGGAGTAAACGCTATAATCAGTAACAACTGGAGCAACACAACAAGCCAAAGAGACAGAACTGATGTGTCAGTCTTACCTATTGTGCGAGGCATCATGCCTTGCCGTGGCATCAAGTTGTCATCGAGGCCCTCCAGGCCACCGTACAAAGAGTGGGAGATTCGGCGCTCGTGATCATCCAGAGAGGTGTTCAAAGTCTGAGGTCCCAGCGGGCTCCCTGGTGCCTCCTAATTGAGGAGAGGAGGTGATAGAATAATTATTAAATAAAAGTAAAGTAAAAAAGAAGTAAATAAGAAGGTTGATCGCTCCTTCTTTGGCTGTATACTCTACGGTTTATTCTCTCCGATTATGCTCCTAAACCTGTGTAGATTTTACAGACTTCTGAAGCCTGTAAGAAGCAGAGGCCAGAGAGACCAGTTGAACCATTTGTGAAGCGCGTTGAGAAGGCACAGGCCTTTGTGTTGATAAAGACTTAATAATCCTTTGTACTAGTCATTAATTAACACACTGCACATCTTGTCTAAGATACAGCACAGTCCAAACTGGAACATGATCCAGAAAGGAACTAGTCATGCCAACATTTGCTCAACAGTAATGGACAAACACGAGGGCAGCTATCCATGCTAATGCTAGAAGTGTGATAACCAGGATAAGTGAGCATGGATTTCCAATAGGCAGTTAAACCACAGGCTGTTAGCGAGCTAGTGTTCTCCCATGCGGGATGTTTAGCTTACGAGCATCTTGACATTTCCCTCAGGACCTATGATGACATTCTTGTTTGCTGGACAAATAGACCATTTGCCGGCCCTGTCACCCATCCACGGCCTGAGAAGGTGCGTGTGTGTCTTTGCACCCGTTGTTTGTCCATTGGATAGTTGACTGTATTGATTTGCTATTGTTTCTGCATTTATTGCTGAAGGTGATGACGGCTCTTGCCATAAACACAACCATCATTGCTGGCTCACATAACTAGGGAAATACTATCACACTCCAGTTAAAACTGGAGCTAAATTATCCCGATCAATGACTATAACTAGCTAGGCTTAGATTCGATTTTGGCAGAAGGTCTTTGCACGATGATCCTCTCAGTTCACTAAATGGTTTGGTACCCCAATAACCACAGCCGACCAGATTCTGAGGTAAACAAACAAGTCCAGTTTACAGGAGAATATACGTGCCCAACTCTGCTAGCTGTGTGAAGTGTAATGTAAAGTGGATTTCAGACTACAAGGCGGCTTGTTTAAATCTCCAGACTTGAAATGCTGGCCTAGCAGCTTGTCTACCTACCTGCCTGCTTACACTCTACCAGGGCTGGACAGGAACAAAAAAATCAGCCCTGGCATTTTTGGCTCAGGTGGCCCACCAAAATCGGTCAGACGCCCCTCAACAATGAGATGTAATATTGCACAAGATTGGGGCCATGACAACAAGACAAGAATATATTTTAATAGGCCTACAATTTAGGAAAAAAAAAACAAAAATCAATGAAATCGTTGGGGGGGGGGGGGTCTGTGTCATTCTACCCATGCAGATAATGATCTGTTTTGGATGTAAAATTGCGCACTGTAAAGTTCACATACATGTATAAAGTGGTGTATAAAGTATAACATTACTTTCTAATATGTAGTGGAGTAGAAGTATAAAGTAGGGTAAAATGGAAATACTCCTGTAAGGTACAAATGTAAATGCTCTGTATTTGTATAGCTTTCTAGTCTTTTCGACCACTCAAAGCGCTTTTACCCTACATCTGCATTCCCCAGTCACACACACATTCATACACTGTCTAAGTGCTCAAATGGAAACTAACATTCACACACATTCATACACTGGCGGAACAGCCACAATTCCGGGGCAATTCGGGGTTCAGCTTCTAGCTTACTCACTAATATAAATGGGATCAGATTTCATAGGATTTTATAATCAACTGCTGGTGAAAGTTATTTTCACTTAATTACTGGACAAATGAAATGGCTTGGATCACAGCTAACACAACCAATCAAACCTATACACAGGGATACCACAAATCTTTCACGGAAACAAACTAATTTCTAAGGTCACCATGTGGCGCGGCGACCGTTGGCATGCGGCTGCTCCTGACTTTAAATGAGATGGTTAATGAATTGGGTCGGCTGAGGGCCCGAGGTGAAAAGCCTCAGTAACAGCCGAGGGGATTTGCCATACTGAAGGCGCATCGACAAATCACACTGCAGCTCATTGCATATTCAGGTTGATAATCGAGCTCCGGGACAGTCTTGATCCCATCAGGTGCCAGCGGTGATGAGGAAGTCAGCTGCTCTGGGTTCGCTGTGTTTCTGTTGGGATGCGGGAAGGAACGAGAGCAGTTGGGCTTGTGATTTATGCAACGGCAAACATTTGAGATTGATTTGAGATTGGTTGTCAAGGGATGGACAAAGTAAATAAAGGATTATTTGTTCCAATATGTCAGTATGAGAATGACAGTACGTCAAACTCAGCAACAGTTTTCATCCTATCGTCATTAGGTATTTGATTTGAACTGATATTTGATGGACCGCAGGTTATTTGGTATTAAAGTGACTCTATAGGGACTTTCTAAATCAGTCTCTTTGAGTGTATTAAATTGTTGCTTTCCTTCTCTCTGAGTGACTTGGACACTATTTCTTATAAATAGTCAGACACTTGGACAGCCTCAGGCCATGCCTCCAGCTCTGCATGTGAAGCAAAGACTGACTCCCAGTGCTAGAGTTTTATTCATCCACCATGCTGTCTGTGAAGCCTCACTGCCTTTGCACGACCGCACTGCACACATACACACAGGGTATCTGTTTGCAAACGAACACACAGAAAGATCCTTGAAAATAAATGCATACATGCATAAGCAGGATGTACAAAAGCACAGACTACACACTCATATACACATACGTGCGCAGACACAAAGACGTGTGCGTACGCAGAGACACACAAACACAAAACACACCTCCAGGCTTAGCCTCTGCTTTCAATTACCAGACGGGCCGAGGGGAAATCAAAACTTTTGACACACCAGGTTGGAAAAGGAGAGCAGGGAAGCCAGGCAGTGCCAGAGGCGTACACATGCACACAGACATGCTCGCACGTACACAGACACACAGCAGTGGTGCACATAGACTCAGCCTCGGCTTTCAAGCAGGCGACAGGCCAAGGTGTACAGAGAATGTAAAAACATGACATTGAGGGGTGGAAAAAAGTTGAGAAGCTCTGTTCGCAGCAATGTTTTTTGGGGTTTTTTCCCCTCAGGGTGGTGAGCCCGTGCGGGAACGGGTTAGCAAACTACAATGACTTAAATGCTTACTTTAATTTCATTAAAAACAGTTCATTGCTGCTCAGTAGGGTAATCCCCAATGGCTTGCTTTAGGGTTGTATTGTATATTTATCACAGAAAGGGTCTTACTGAAGTGGTGCCTAATGATACCATGTCCACACAAGTTTCGTTATTTAGGACAACAGCGTCCGATGAGTTCAGGCTTATTTGTTTTTTTAAAATCAGGAAAAGACACAGACACTATAATTACAACCACTTTGATCTGAAAAAGTATCACAAACAAGACACATTTTTTATCATTTGAGCAAAGTTATCAATATCCCATCTGTGATGACCATACTAGTAAAGGTGTCTATTAAATGGTCACAAGCCTTGCAGGCTGAAAAAGAAAACTTCTGGTCAAGAAAAATCTGAGCAGCAACTGTGAATGAAAACATTTCCCCATTTACTCAATGACAAATGTTGATATGTCCTTGTGTAGTGTGTTTACTCCCCAATTTTTCCACTGGAATTGCTTAGGGGTCAACAGTCAACACTGTAGTAATGCAGCTGTAATGTGCGACTCTGAAGTGTGAACATGTGAAACTCAAGTGTGAGGCAGGCTGCTGCTGCTAAAGGTCATGTGTGCTCAGTCAGGGTAAATTAAAGAATAAATCATTATGTTTACATGGACAAAACTCCCATACTAACCTCGTTCAAAATAAGACCACAATTTGATTAAGAAGTTACAACAGTACTAAAAAATTAGTTCAACTTGGGTTTTATTTACATCAATCAATGTTTTACTTATTGTTAAGTTTTGACACAGCTTTGCTATGGAGTTAGGCTAGCCAACATTAGCAGTCAGTTTGGCAGTGCTAATTGTCTGCAAAATAGTTTTTTGATCATGCAGCCTCCAACTCCAAGACATTAGAGTTTAGGTGATCAAAAAAAAAAAATAGAGTACTGTAGAAATCTGACTAATGTTGATATATTGCATTCATTGTATTTGATATTTGTCACCAACTTTATCCTTATCAGATATATATCCATCATGTTGTCCCTACTCAACTAAAAACAGTTGCCATTGCCAAAAATGACAGCCACACACCCTTGTCTTAATCCAATCCATCTTTCATCTTGTTCCATACCTGATTTCCTTTGGCCACTCGTCTGGCCACAATGAGCTGGATCATCCCACGTTTGTTGCCTTCCGTTGACATGGATTTGCGCAGCGTCTCCATGGCGTCATGGTTGGTTTTGCCCAATAGCGACTCTCCATTGACAGCTATCAACTGGTCATTCACTCGAAGCCGCCCGTCCTATCGGCGGACAAGAAATCACGGTCAGTTATCAGTTATGGTTTCATGTTTAAACTCTTACTAGCACAGAAAAAGTGGAGATTGTATTTTTCCATCTACCAAATACTGAATGCTCTGATCAATGAAAAACGGTCATATCTCCCATTTAATTACAATCCTTTTCTAATCAGACTAACAGTCTCGCTCACATGATCTAATCTCTAACAAAGAAGTGTGATTTTAAGTCAACTATTACATTCTGTCAACACAAGTATGTTGGAATGAAAAACAATCAAGTTGAAAGACTATTGAAACTAACTGCAGCAAATCACCACAGATAGCAACAGAAAACAGGGCACTGCTTTTCTTCATAGTTGCTGAGGAACAGAAAAGTCTTTTTACTTCAGTTTCCCTGCCAAGGGTATACAGAAGGATTTCAAATCATGAGGTAAAAAACTGAGACTGATGTATCCAGTTTGTTGAATGACTTCCCTCTATTCTGTCTCTTTCTAACAGATTGTTTGCAAATATTAGAAAGTAATATATAATGTCTTCTATGACCTTTTAAGTGTGTGTGTGTGTCTGCGTGTGCAGGTTCTGGGTTTATCTTGAACAGGTGAGAGCAGCAGCTCACAATAAAGGTAGGTACTGCACATGGGGTTAGAGTATTTATATTTTAAATAACTGTGGCTATAAAAATGAAAATAAACAAGAAAAAAAATGTTTGTTGGTAGACCATATATAGTCTATTTAACAAGTAACTGAACAGCAGGGCTGACTTCTCTGCTTGGAAGCTTCAGAAGTGTGTATTGTTGCACCTTTAACTACACCCAGTCACAATGTCCTGACCCCACCCTGGTTTACACTTTGCATTACTGCAGCCAGACAAGAGGTTAAATCACTCGATTTAAGAGAAACTATTCACTAATTTATATTACATACAGATTCCTGGAATTATATCACCGTCCCTACAGCTGCTAGCTAACAGCTAACCATCTTCTTTGGTGTGGTATGCTGGAGTAACAGCATCACAACGACAGACTTAACAGACTGATTAAGAAGGCCAGTTCTGTCCTGGGATGCTCGCTCGAGCTTTCATCCATGTTGGAGACCTCGTTCCACACCCTTCATGAGTCACTATCATCACTGAGCAGCTCCTTCAGTGGCAGGCTGATAACTCTTCGCTGTGTGAAGGAGAGATTCAGAAGATCTTTTCTTCCTGCAGCTGTGAAACTTTATAATCAGCACTGTTAAGCAGTTTACAGTAACCTCAACTCAGAGACTGAGTGAAATCTATGCACAACGTCACTTTGCATTGGAATTTGTTTTTATCTTTTTAAAGTCTCCAGGATAAGCATACCAAAATGCATAAAGTCACTTGCACTGTTTCAATTAAATTTTTTACACATATAATTTGTTTTATATGTGTAAAAATATAGTTTTTAATTATTTAGTATTATGTTTAATATCACTTTACTCCGTGCTATCCACTTGCTGTTGTAATGTTGAACATTTCTCACCTGTGAGACAAATAAAGGCTGATCGTTTAATCCTTTCTTTTAAATGTCCACTGAAACCCCTTTTAATTCCAACAGAAGGTATCGTACCTTGCAGGCTGCCCCTCCATTAATAATCGATTTGACGAAGATGCCCAGGTCAGCGTGGTTCTCCTTGGAGCGATTACCTTTGACACTCACACCCAACCCAGCTGAACCTGAGTCACTGAGGGGGATCTCAAAGGTCAGGAACTCTCTGGTCCCGTCTGGAGTCAGGACCAAGTCGTCCTCCTCTGTCTTCTGTAAGAAGGGGAACAAAGAAGGAGTGACATAGATTTAGAGTCTAGACTTCAAAAATTCTTCAAACAAAACAAGCCTGATGTGCCTTAAATCAAAATAAATACCATAATCAGTAACTCGACCAGCATCAACAGCAGAACTACATCTGCATAGTCATTGAAATACAGTTTCAAAAAACATACACCAGAATGCATATTTAACTATACAAAGCAAAACTATTTCTGAGTTTATTCCATTGTAAAACAATCACACATAGGCCCCTTCAGCCTCGCCATCCTTGCACTTTGTCTCTGCGGGTTAGCCAAAGGGCCAAAGTTAAAAGGACATTCATTTGGCCTCTTGAGGTTAATGTATATAAATTGCATTGCAGGCAGATAGCAGGGAGGTAAATCAAGAGTGCAAGCTCATTAGCTACATCAGATATATTAGTGTTAAACAGACCAGCACTCCTAACTGGTAAATCAGGTATTTAGTATAAGCAGGCAGAGACTTGTATAATCAAGGCACCATGCTCTGGTTCATCAATACTAAAGCATGTAGGGGGTTCTTCAAAACCTTTAGGATCCAGCCCATGCAAGTGTTCCATGTTTGTACATCTGTCAGCACATTTTTATTTGCCGGTTACATGATATTATTAGTGATTGTGATGGTGTTTAAAGAGGTGGTATTCTGCTCATTTTCGGGTTCAAAATCCTATTTAGGGGTTATACCAGAACAGGTTTACATGGTTTAATTTTCAAAAAACACCATATTTTTTGTCATACTGCAAATTGCTATGGAGTGATTCATCTTGCCTCTACATGATCTTTGTTGGGAGTTGTGCATGCACAGTTCCTATTTAAGGACTACTAGCCAATCAGCTTCGGTTCAGCTGTAGGCAACATGGACTGGAGCAAGAGTTTCAGAGTGGTGAGTTATTAATGTGCTGCAGCTCACTGTTTTTCCTCTCTTGTTTTTGAGGGCGTGTCGGAGTAGCCGCTTGACAAGCGTTATGAGGCGCATTTAGTTTTCATCCCTGTGATGTCACAAGGATGAAAGGGAAACGGCTGGATTACAAGCGAGCTGTTTCAGGCAGTTCAGAGCAGAGTTTTCTGTGGGAGATGGGAACTCACTTTGGGCTTTTTCACTTTGAAAACCTATTACATGCACAAAAAAGGTATATAATGCAATAAAGGTGAGGGAAAAAAGCCAAAAAACATAATACCACCTCTTTAAATTGAAAATTATTTGAAAATTATTACCACTATCTACTTGTTTGAAATAATTATAGTGCAGACAGTATTTCATATTCTAAAATCCATCAAATAATTTATTATTTTATCTTTTTCTTATTATTGTGCAGTCCTGGTGAATTAAATCTAAAGCCTGATTTTGGACCAACGCTGTATATACTGTAATGCTTTAATGAAACACAAATTGAAAATATGAACAACTGTCACAGAGGTGGTTAATTCTCTTTTTATAATAAATGTGCCATTGTTTTCATCCCAAGTCGGCAAACAATTGTCAATGGCTATAACATAACACAGTCCTAAACTTATTTCAGCACTCAACAAAGTGAAACCTAATTCTAATCTTCTAATCAAATCAAACACACTTAATATGTCCTCACTTCAAAGCACTAAAACTCAGAGTTTTGAAAAAAGGATTCAGACAGAAGCACAAACACTACCTAAAGAATAAATTCGACATGCCATGCACCTGGATCGTGATGCCAAGTGCGTCAAACTGGCAGTAAACTTCTCAGTAACCCTGCATGAACACAGCAGCCTAATTGACATGCTGAGTGCTCGCTCTCTCTCTTCCCCTCCACAACAGGTGCTTCTCTCACTCTTTCTCTACATTCATTCTCACTCTCTCTTCCAGCTCAACAATAAAAAGCTATTCTCTCTCGGTTGTTATTTGACAGCTGTCCTCTGAATAGATGGGTGCGTGCACGCTCACGCCTGGCAATTATTGTGCACGCCTAATGAATTCAATCATCGGGCTCGGTGTCAGCATGTCATTAGCTCCCTTTGTTTGCTAAGAGAGAGATGGAATTGCTCTGGGTGGAATGGAGGGGAGAGACAGAGGGATGGAGGGCGAGTCAAAGTGGGGAAGGAGGTGGGGGGAGAGACAGAAGGAGGAGGAGAAGGGCGAAACAAGGATGCATGGAGTAAGAAGGAAAGGGAGGGAACAGAAGGAAGATAGAGGAAAAGCAAGCCTGAGGAGCACTGTCAGGGTGTAAGCATGTGAGAAAGAAAAATAAATGCTACCTGGAATACCTTTGAGATAAAATAAAAAACCCAACATAACATAAGTGCTGAGAAATAATAACACATAAGACAACAGGAATGTAATTATTCCAGTCCAATTAATTCTGCCGGGAAGTGAATTTAAGGCTAATTAAAAAGTGACAATGAAATGGTCATAATAAGAAATTACAAAACAAATTAATTATTACAATTGTAAAGTAAAGCAGATGTGATGTCATTTCAAGGTTGCAATCTATCTATGGATCTATTAAGTAATATCAGGCATTTCAATATGAATAATGCCATTAACAGAGCTAACTATGTTTTTAAACTTGAAAGACTAACATAAATCTCATACTCTGCAGATTACATTATTTACACCTGTGATGTTTTACTGAAAGTATAGTTCAAAAGTATAGTTGGTCATTTTCAATTAAACTGCAACAACTGAAACAGTCTTTTGCTGTTAAAAAAGACCAAGAAAGTGCTCAGACAAGCTGGCTGCATCCATAGACGTTACAAAAAATGGGTCGTGTATGTGACGTCACCCACGCCGTTTTGAAGCTGAGTGGGCTCTGGCCATCACCATCTTGGTACTGCCAGACACTAGCTACTCGAAAAAGATGTGGGGCCGAGGCAGGCCGATTGAAGCCTGGTTGCGGAACCGCGTAGCTGCTAGTCTCCTGAGAGGGCACCCACCTGTCACTCAAATCGCTTTACCCTTAGCTATGGAAACTGCATGATGCAACTGGTTGTCATGAACATGGAAATTAGTTTTTGTACCAGGCAGTAAACATGTTTGTTTCTGATGTAAATTCAGGCTTTTTGACACGGCGGTGTATGGAAGACGACTCCCTTTTAGAGCCAGCCTCAAGTGGCCATTCGATGAACTACAGTTTTTGGCGCTTGCTTCATTTTTCTGCCCCAGAGTTTGCCACTTGGTTGCATCATGTAATTTACAGACTTAGCAATTAGCTTGATAGCGTGGCAGACAGCAGATAGAAAGCATTAATCAAAATCTTCAAGCTAAACCTTTATCATACCACATCACATCACCATTTTAAGCTGTTATCTAAAAACTGTGAAGCAGCTCATCTCTACAGTCTTTGAAGCTCACATGATTTTAGCTCAAGAAGCTAAAGTGCAGCGCTGACATCTGTATCCTTAGGGGTCAGCTGTATTACTTAAGCTCGGCCAAAGATGGCTTCCACAAGAAAGAAACACAAGACGACAAGATAGTGGTGAGCTAGCTAGTCACATCACATTTAAGGTAGTTAGCAGTTAGAAATCACCTACAGTACCAAACGTTTTACCATTACTCCCTCATCAGCAACTGTGCCAACTTATGGAAAAGTTAAATACCACTAACAATAATGTGACACAAAAGTAGTCAATCTTTCAATAAAAAAATAGTTCTATACTTAAGCTTTACTCCAATTTACTGCTTTAAAAAATTCAGATGGATCCAGGATGACTTCAATATGCAACTAAAATACGAGGAAACACAAAAGAGTGGGTGAAAATAAATAACACTGGCAAAAAAACTGAGGGAAAAAAAACCCCTCAAAGTACAGTCAGACGAGTTGAAAGAAGGTGAGGGGAGGGAGAGGAGTGATGGGCTCGAGAGGAGGGACGGAGGCAACTGGAGCGAGGGTGAAAAGGCGAGGAGCCGAAAATAAAAGGGTGAAAAGACTGAGAGAGCGCGAGCATGACAATGACAGAGTGAGCGGGCGAGCGGGTGTGAATGAAAGGCTGACAGAAAAGGATTAATCCATGTGGAACACAAAAGAAGACAGACACTGCCACCTCTCTTACTGTATGTCTGTATCTCTCCCTCCCTCTCTCAACCATCCACCCCTTTTCACCCGTCTCTTTATTCTGCACTCCACTTTCTTTCGCTTTTTCTTAAAAACTATCTCCCTCTGCTCATCCCCCCCCCCCCCTTTGCTGCCTCCCCTTTCTAACCCTAATTTTGTCTCTCTCGCTTCCACATCTCTCCATATCCTTTTCCTTTCTTCATCATCGCATTTGTATGAGAGGAGAGTGTGCCTGCACTAAACCAGCTAAATTTGAGGAGCCATCGTTTTTTTCTCTCCGTGTTTAAAGCAGTAAACCGGTCACAAGAAAACTGTGCTTTTTCAAAACGGTCTGCAGAAAAGACAAATCTGGTCTCGTGTGGTCACGGTAAACACAAAGTCTGCTGAAGACAACTTGGTGATTTCACAGTGCAGCAGTACAGAAAATACTGTTTGTCTGGTTAACAGGTAGCGGCTATAATCCAATGTCAAATTATCATCATCTGCTTGTTCAGTTGTCTGACAACAAAAACAGAAAAATAAGTAGATAAGAGCATCTAAATCATGACAATCGCGGTTTTAAAAGCAGGAGGAGACTGATCTGATATAAGTCTTTCCTACTACTATGCTATTGGGGATGCACATTGTTTTCACATGTAAACAGCATTTCCAGATTTAGCTGGTTAGTCCAATTCTCACATCTCTTTTCACTTTTCGTCTTTGTACCTCCCACCCACCGCTTTCTGTCGCTTCCCCTCGCAGCACTTCTTTCTCTCACCTTTCCTTCTGCACCTGAACCTCTCCCACTGTGCACATCTAATGTATGTCTCGCATCCTCAGAGCCACGACTCTTCTTTGTATTCTACGGAGTCAGAGTCGATCTTTTGCATTAACAGTATTCAAAGCCGCCCTCTTTCCCACTTTCTTCTCCCCCACACACACACACACACACACCTCTCCTCCACTGCAGTCCCTGAAATGATTAGCGGGTCGGCGGCGAGCTCAGCTTTGGCCGAACAAACCTGTCAATTTGATGGCATCTAGAAAAGTCGCTTGAGGGGAACTTTTTAAAAAAGGGCAAAGAAAGAGAGAGAGAGGGAAGGAGGCAGTGAAGGGTGTAATTGGTCGAGGGAAGCCAGGCGTGGAGAGCATTGTTGGCTGCCTACTGTAGCACAAATCTCTTTTTAGTCAGACTCTGACTCTCTCCCTATTCCTCCCTTACCTTCTATCACTACATTTACCACCCGCCACCCCCCTTTCCCATATCTTCCTCCTCACCGTTCTCTCTCTCTTCTTGCCATTTAAACTATGTGACCAAAAGTATGTGGACACACTTGCCCGCCTACTTTTGCGTCCTTTTGGTCATGTTTTGAGCTACAATCCTTTGTTTCAACCAAGATAAATCTTGAAGCTCTAAACCCTCTTCTTTCATCTTGCCACCACTCTCTACCTCCTCTTTTCTGCTGCCCTCCGTTCTATTTGTCACCCCTCCCTTCCCCCCTTGTCGCTCCACCCCGTCTCTCTTCGCTCACTCTTTCTGACGCGTCTCACTGTAGCTCCATGCTGATAGACCATGAATATCAAATACCTGTGCGATCAACGGAGCTGAGACTGGCACAGCATGGAGGAAGAGAGGAAAGGCAGGTGTGCATGTGTGTGATAGAGTAAGCGAGTGACAGAGAGAGAGAGAGAGAGACAGAGACAGAGAGAGAGAGAGAGAGAGAGAGGGAAGGCAGGCCCGTCTGTGTCTATAGGTGGATGTGTGTCAGAGCAAACAAACACAAAGCAGCATGTGTAAATGTCATCCTTATATATTGTGTCTGTGCCTGCATACACCCCTTCAACTGCCAACATGCATCACTGACACATGATGACTATAGTATGTACAGGAACAATCCACTGACACGCACAAACACGCATGCAGTCCCACTTCTCACTCGCTGTCCAAAACTGATCAGCTGCCCTCTTTCTAGCGTCCTTTCCATTTTGGACAGTCAAACACTATGTGGCTCGCTCCACAACCCACTAGTAACCATTTATAACTTCATCCAACCCCGAGCACTTACACCAGCAGCTGCTCCATGTCACTGCGCGTATGCGTGCGCAAGTGTGTAAGTATACTTATGTGGGAATGTGTAGTGGTGTGTGTGCAGTGAGTGTGTTCATCTGAGATGTTTGTGTAAAGGGTGCCATATGGCTTGTGTTTTTTTTTATTTTTGAGTTCATAATGTGTAAAGACTCCAGTATGGTCTATGTAACTGTATACTGTGTGTGTGTGTGTGTGGGCCAGGTGGCAGCTTGAAACATCACTTTAATTAAGCTAGAGGGCCTGTTCTGCGGTAGAACGGCCCTCTCTGATTGACTCGTATGTGTCACCAAAAGGCCACTACAGAACACAGAAACAGCACCAAGCCCGCTGCAACCATTAATCACTGCAGCTATCCTATCGTGCAAATAATGATACAAGTTATGTAACTCTTGTAATGATTCCCTTTTAGGTTAATAATCCCATGCTATTATGCACCTAAAGCAGTGGTAGAAGAGGTATTTAGAAGTAAAAGAAGCAATACGACAACGCAAAAGTACTAAAGTATAAATAACGGTCTTTACTACTTGATTTATTTATTTGAGAAAAGTACATAAGTATTGTAAAGTATCAAAATCTCATTATGAAATAGATCTATTTCTGAGTATTAAATTGCTTTGCTCATGTTATATTTTATATTATAACTATTACTGATACAATAACAGATATGCTTGTTTTTAATGTACTTTTAACCACTGTTTATAATGTTGGATTATTTAATCAATTCTATCTCAGAAGATCATTATGTTTTATAAGTAAACGTTAATTTGTTAAATTCGGTTTATATCTGAAATATAGTGAAGAAGAAGCATACAACGGAAATTCTTGAGAAAAGGTTCTTTAAAGTACATAACTTAGTCCCATTTATAGTTAAATAAACAATAAAGTAGGGTATGATTTAGGGCGTGGCTAACTTGTGATTGACAAGTTGCTACCCTGGCAACTGTTCAGGCATAGCAACGCGTATCAGCCCACCTACACGCTCACCTGCCACCAACACAGCGTCACAGATGGCCGAATAGTTTTTTTCAGATTCACTGAGAGCTTATAATCTAAGCATTACGGTTACATGGCTCACGTGCGACGGGATGTCACAGGGTTTGACGTCATTTTTGGGCCTACATGGAACCGTCCATTGGTGTTATTGTACATGGAGGTAAAAGAATTAACAGTTTTTCATTCATAACAAAAACACATTTTCGCTATCACTTCAACCACAGAGGGAGAATGACCTGTGAAGTGAGCTGCTGGTTGAAATGACATTATTTTTAAATATACTGTCTTTACCTTGAGCATATGAGTGACCGCCACATCTCTACAGTCGACACTGTTTTGTTATTTCAAGCTTTTAACAAACTAATTGGGCTTCAGCATATAGACGTTTAAATTATATATTGCCTTGAAAACTCTTGCCCATTGGCAAATGATCTGCTTATATGTGACAGCTATGCAAAATTTAAAAAATGATTATTCTCCTTGGATAAACAGAAGATTTTTCTGCACTATACCGTTTCATCAGTTGTGGCATGTTATGCAATGTCAATATTTGCCACCACATCCACGGGCCTGTTACAGACATACTGTATTATGACTTAAAATACTGTACATTTTGATATAATATTTATGCTGTGTCATGAACAGCCAACACATGTTCTGCTATGATAAATGCTATCTCATGTCAAGAACACCTTCATTACACTCCAGCGTGCTAACAGATTGCCGTTTCATAACAGCTTTGTATGCAGACAGAAGAGGAAACACGCACGTGTGATAGATAGCATCTTGGCACAGTGTTGCTGCAGCATTACTGCTGCCACTGCTGATGGCTTTTCAATATAGCCTTGCAGTAATTTTCCATAAGCCTGTGTGACTAATGGCATAAACAATGGAGCTGAATGTTCACGTTATGGGACCATTATGGAACTATCAGGGCAGGCATGTAAAGACGGATGCCTTTGATCAGCACTCTATTGTAGAAGCCAGGTGCAGGGAAGAGGATTTGCGTCTTTAAGTGTGTCTTAAGTGTGTGTGCAAGAAAGAGAGGGGCAGAATGGAGTGAAAAAGAGATGGAAGAGAAGTAACAAAGGCGGAAACAAGACAGATGCAATGAAAATAAAAGAAAGGAGAAGGTAAGGGCTGCTGAGAGAGACAGAGAAAACCCGACAAAGTGTTTTCTTTCTACAGACCGTTGGCAAAGCAATGACTCCCAGTATATTTGTGAAGCCACCCAAAGCATCTCATTTGCCTTTGATGCCTTTTCCTTGTGCAGCATAATGACCCAAGATGGTGATGTCATGCAGCAGTTACCTCAATCAGCCAATGGGGTTTCCCGGCTGTCACAGGCTGCCTCGGATGCTAAAGGGAGCAGTCAAAGTCAACAGGTTAGACACAAGAGTCCCTCAGATAGAGAACACTTAATAACTCAGTCCAGGAATGTGATGAGGGACATCTGAGCCAGTTGAGATGTAGAGTGAGGTGGTAAAATATTTAACATGGAGGGTCAAGGATGTAAATGTTATAGCTGAGGTGTTTGTGAGAAGCACAAATGCACCTAAACATTGGCACATTTTAAATGAATCCAGCAGACATTAACTTTGCATTAACTGTGCAAAAGCAATAATGTGGCATGAGTGAACCAGAGTGTCACACAACTAATGACATCCACTAGTGCACTGCAAACGCGGGTGATTTTGGGGTCATTGGCCCGATTTCAAAAAGTGAGTGCTTTTTCCACTTCAGTTGCTGCATTTTGTCTGTCGTGTAACCCTCAACAGAGCTCTCTCTCACAGCAGGAGTCATGCCATGCCAACCCAAAAGCCCCAACTGGAGTGCCGGCAAACCTGCGGCTCTACAAGCTGTCAACATATTATATTCTGTTAGCTTTTTTTGTCAATTGCATTTTTCTTAAATGTACAAAGCTATTAAAATAAAAGGAATAGATTCATTTTAGTAACAAAATTATCAGACATAGTTAAGCTCTATAAAGGCACAGCATGTCAGTATGTCTCTGTTCACATGCTGCCCAGAGCAATTCCAGTTTGCTGTACTTAAATGGTTCTAAGTCTGAAACTGCCCTTTTCTGTTATAGAAACGTTTTATAATTCAGACTGTTTCGGACAAAAAAAAAATAATCTGAAGGCATCACCTTTGCATGTTTCTACATTTTCAGATATTCTTAAGAGTAGTCGACTAATCAAAAAAATCAAGAGATTAATAATGAAAAGAATCATTAGTCGCCGCCCTTCCTCTCATCATCCAATTCTCTTCATTTACTGGAAATGTATCTATTACTTGAAAATGGATACATGTCCATTAAAAGCTGCCCTGTTCTGTAAGATGCACACCCTGCATCTAAAGCTGTACACCATCATGGTGCCTCTGCTGCTGTTGTTGTTGGCGGCGAGATGTTTAAAATGAGGCGTCTGACAACAGATAACATCTGAAAGGCACTGAATCCATTTATGGTGGTTGATGTTCCGGGAAAGGGTGAGGAGGAGAGAGACTCATCTGGAGTTTTGGAGTTAGGAAGGGAGGAAAGGAGGGAGATGAGAAGAGACAAAACGGCGGGGGGGGGGGGGGGGGGGGGGAGACAGCGTGACCATGGTGCATTTCCTCAGTCTATCTTGTCCCTGTGGTTGCATTGATTTTTAGGAAAGTAAACATCCAAAAATATGCAGAAAATTAAACAATTGCTTTTACTTCCCTTAATCCTGAAGTCGCACTAGGTAGAATTTTTACAGGTTAAGTTTACTTTGTGATAATTAAAAAGGAAAACAATGAAAAGATTTGCCTCTATCAGATGCGGGAAATAAAAACACTTAAACGTGGCTCCTAAACAGATTTTTTTTAATTTCCATTATACAACTGAAAAAAACTGAAGTTCTCTCTCACTGGTAGTGTACCCTGGGATACCAAAGCACAATGCTGCCAAGAGTGGCTTATAACAAGCCAACTAAAATGTGACATTTACTATAGTGTTGGCTCTTACTGACAAGGCAGCAGTGGTAGGAGGCCCACTCCCTGGTGTCTTTCTCGGCACTTATTTTAAAGGCTGATGGATTGATACATGTCGTCATGTCTGTACACGTGTCCGTGTCTGATGTGAGATGTGCCAGCTGCAGTCACAATAATCATCAACATCCTGTCATAAAGTTCCTCGATGATGAGGATCATCCACACAGCATCACATTAACTGGCCAATTACGCTTCTAATGCGCCACTCAAACTGCAACCAATCACCTGCACTTGGCCAGATGTAACCTGAAGGTAACGCCAGATGCGAAGACATGAAGTCTGCGGTTGTTAAATTACAACTCAAGTTCGGTATGGAAATGCAGAGTTATGGAAAACTGAATAGCCTTTTAATTTCAGCAGTAAAGACAGATGAGCTTTTAACAGCTGCTGTGATGGAGAACCTTTAAGGGTAATGTGTGACAAGTAACATTCAGGCCATCGAGACTGTACTGTAACAGTTGGAAATACCGTACATCCTGTTGAGAGCTGATTCTTCATAGAAGGTAGCTTCTCATCCTAAAATAACATCTGCAGCCACTGCATGGTACAACCCCAAGATAAGGAAAGTTTCTTTGCATCCAGTTCCTGGGTATTTATGGATATAACATTAGGCTATACATGTCTCGGTTACATATGTCAAAGTTTCCAAAGTTTCTGTTTACATTTGGCGCTCAGACATCCACATCCAGCTCTCTGCATTTTTCTCTCAATAAAATGAAACACAAACTAAACAGCTTGTTTGTCATTCACCTCGCATATCAGAGTTAGCATGCTGCAGGAAGGCCAGACTGACAACCTTATCCACAGCCGACAAATAAAGCAAACTCCAATGTGTTTCTACCTTCACTGACAAATACAGCTCTGAGGGGAGTGATGGAGCGAATTATTCTGCAGCACAGCCTGAACAGTCCATACTGATGAACCATGAAATTGTGATTTGTTACAGCAACTCTGGATGGAGATTGAAATTTGTGTTACTGACTAACATTTATACGCGTGACTAGTGACTTGCATTTTGATTAACCCACTAGTTTACTAGTGGAACCTCAACACACGCATAAGCTATTGTTTTCATCCCAACTGGGTGATGAAATTCGGTGTATTTCCTAGCACAGATGAATAACACCCATGCAAAGGTTCGGGCTAAATAAAGGAGTAGGAGCTGTTGAGGAGGAGGCAGCGGATTTGGGAAGATGGTTTTATTGCGGGCTAGTGATGGGGTGGAGTCTTACCAAATCTCTGGGGCATTGCACCTGGGGCTCAGCATTCTAGAGGATGGAGGGGACAAGAGAACCAAAGTCAAACCAAGTCAAAATTCTAGCACACGGACACACAAGAAGCTGTGGAAGGGAGAAATGGAAGCAGTGTGATGAATAAATGGGCATGCAGGTTATGAAAACGATAGATCTCAGCAGACAGATGGGTAGGTATTGCTGGGTGGTGTGCGCTCAGACTTAAAATATAAAACTGTGGGTCAGAAAACAACTGTAGTGTTTGCAAAGACTACATGTCACAATCTTCAAAGATGTCACTGGCAAGACCAGATATATATAACAGATGAATAAATTGCATGATGGACACTTTTCCAGTCATTGAGCTCCAGCTCTCTGAAATCTCAAATCTTTGAGTAAGGTTTTTATTGGTGAGCAGTGATCATTCAAGATTTGCCCTGAGATTTGCCTCTCAGGCTGCATACAGGCTGACCTAATCAGGGTTGAAAAAGTATCCTACATTACATAAATATTTTTGGGAAAATAAATAATTCAATCTATACTTTGATTTAAGGCTGGCAGTTTTAAGTATATCATTCTCATCGTATCTCATTTCTCTGTCAATGAAACTGTGATTTTGAGTCACATGTGCATGAATATGCAGTGCATTAACAATAGCATATATCAAGTAGTAGTAGTATAGCAGGCCTATCAATTTACAAAACATTTATAACTCTTGTTATACTACCAATAATGTGGAAAGCTCACAACCTATAATATAAGCTCACTAAATAATAATTTCATCATGCTATTTGCGAGATTAATGTAGTTTCAGATGATAAAATAAGTTGTCCCGCTTGTCCAACAGCTAAAAGATCTCGTTTTTATACCTGCTGCACGTGGCAGCTGTACAAACGATATAACAGCTGTTGCCTTTATTTGTTCATTGCTCTACATTAGGTTTAATAAATAAAGCTTAGCAACTGCCATTTTTAATTCACACTTATGTGGCCAGAAAATGTGCTTTTTACTCTTGAAACACTGTTTTGGTTAAGCTCAATTTAGTAATCCAGTTTGTGTTTTAATTGATATATAATGTGTGTTGTTATTATATTTTGGTTAACTGACATGTTGTTTAGTCTCCCCTATCTCTAAAACCCATGAGAAATGCTTAGCCTAGCTCACAGCTCTGGATAAAGACTGAAGCTGCTCATTTTGTGCACTAGACCTCATCTCCCTCGAGCGCCATCTCAGCCCATTCTCATCACCCTCTCCACCCTCTGCAGCCAAATAACCACAGATCAAATAAATCCTACCATCTAACTGCCGACTACGCAGAATCAGCTGGACTCAAAGCCCCGCTCTAATCTAAAGATGAGTATCGACCAGCTCCTCTCATCCAACCTCGCCCTTGGTGACAGCCAACCAATGGCTTCCTCTGCATCCCTTTGTTGTGATAATTGTCACCAATCAGCCATTTGATTGACACTACTTGCTAGCGAATGGCTGCTTGTGGCTCTAATGGCCCTGGTGACAGCGGAGGGTGCTGGGAGAGTCCATGTTTATGACAACAGAGGGGGGATTTAGGGCTGTTTGGTGCTATAACTCATGTTTCTACTCGATAAGGCATGTGTTAAAGCCAGCTACTGGAGCTAGAGAGATAGCAGAGAATCATTGACCGCTGCTGTGGAGTAAACACTAATGTGATTAAAAGCCTGCTACCAGCCCCCACTGTTCACTCTTCCCACATTAAACTTACACTTAAGCTACAGTGTTCTGCCGCCGTCATTATGAGCTCACTTCTTTATCAAACAACTTTGAGGTAACTCCAGATGCTCAGTACATCAAAGCTAATTTTCTGCAAAGATAATTAAGTGCAACATCTGGCAGCACGTAAAAAACGCGACCTTGAGGAAAGCAAATAGTTGCGACAAACGTACCAACTAAATTAGCAACGGTTCGCATGAATCATTGAAGTTACAAGCTGTGAATGGCACCTGTCCAGACTGGGTGACAGCAGTAGCATCCAAAAACAGCACACAAACATTTGTATTGCCGTTTGTGTCGTGTAATGTGCGAGGATGTTGCCTGATTGATATTCAGTCCAAGTGTGTTTTCCACTCTCTGCCTACTACCTGCCCTGTGTCTGTCTGTTCATTCCCACATCCATCAATCTAGAAAGCCAGCTCGGAGGCAAAACAGAGCAAGAGAGATGGAAATACAGAAAGAGAGAGAGAATGTAACCTAACAAAGCGAGAGGAAGAAAGGGAAGTGGTGACTGAGAATGAAAGTTGCGGCAGGGGAGGGTGACACAGGAAGGACAGAGAGAGTTAAAGCGAGAAGAAAAGGAGATAAAGAGAAAAGATTGAGCTCTACAGGATTCCTCTGAGGCTAGCCACAGTTTGATAATAGAGAGGAGTGCAGCGACGGAGCGGGACAATCAATCTGCATGCTCGGCTAGCATGTTGTGTTAGCCGGGAAATGAGAAGACAACACCGCACTCACAGTGGGGATTAACGGTACTTGTGACAGCACAGCAGCACACACAAACACCATGCAAGCGGGGACTGTACATATGTCAGCGTGTGAAATGTGTTATGCTGACAGGTTGAACAGTTGGCGGAATGTTCCAAGGAAGGTGAAGAATGACAAACGTACCACTTCTCGTGGGAGGAAAGTGTCCTCCTGCCGTAGAACCAGCAGCCCAACAGCCCCGCCCATGGGCGTGGCCCTGAGCAGAGACACCACCTCCTCCTGGGTCCGCCCATTCAGGTCCACTCCATTCACCTGAACAGGAGTGACTGAGTTTAGTTCTAAAAAAGGCTGCATGGTTAATCTCTCAGCCAAGGTGAAATATTCACAACACTTATTTGTGCTTATTGCAAAACAAAGAAAAGCAGCAAATCCTCACATTAAACAGTCACTTGGAAAAAAGTGAAAAATAAACCAAAATTACTACTACTGTGTACCAAAATTAGACAAATCCCAGTTAAAAACGTGAAAAATAAACCTGTGTACCAAAGGTTTTAATGTTTTGTGCAATAACCCCACAGACTCAGTGTTGCACAGTGTAATCCTTTATGCAAATGGTTTGCAATGTGGGATAACGCAACTTCAAACGCTTCCGTCTTGCTGCACACACAATACAATATAAACACACGTTCTTTGATTTTACTCCAGGATGCTGAATTGCCAAGTAGCTGCCTGAAATTAATTAGTTACACTTTAAATGACGACAGGTATTTTTGATGTATTAAAAGTATCAGTACTTGTGTTGTGACAAACAACATCCACATTTTATACTGGGATTTAACTAATTTTGGAACAAACCACGACTACTGCCTGGTACAGGTCTACTGTCCAGATAACATAATCCAGTGACCGTCATAGGTTACATTAAATGAGTCCATCAGCTCCTGCACGCATATGAACTGCTGTGTTAAGTATCACTGCACTTCGACTATCTCACCTCCAGCAGCCTGTCTCCTGCCTTGAGGCGGCCATCTTGGATGGCAGCTCCCCGAGGCAGAATATTCTTCACGTAGATGGGTGCCGAGCCGCCGATGGGAACGTCCCGTGACGTTATACTGAAGCCGAGTCCCTCAGGGCCTGTGGGATGAGCAGGAAGGAGTCTTATGATGGAATCTGGTTTCGTCCTGAGGCAAAAGGTGATGCTCTTCTATTCCCTCTGTAAGCCTACAGCTCAAGCTACTGTGACTAAGTTCATACTGTCGTGGATCTGAGGCAAATATAGGCAATAACGGTGGTAAGTCTAAGGGCAGATATTTGGTTCAGATATTAGGGTGCTTTCACACCCGCCTCATTTAGTTCGGTTGAATCGCATGTAGTGAACAACGGTGTGGATTTGTGCATTTTACATTGAATAAATTTGGAGCTACCCTAAATTCCTTTCTCCTCCCCAGAGAAGAAGGGGAGGGGTCAAAGTTGCTTTCTCTAAGTGCTAGCCCGACCATAAAACTGGCACCTTTTTCATTCCGAAGCTGATAACGCGGGGCCTGACTGTTAAACTGACAAAGGGACACGAGCCAGCCATTGGTATCTCCCTGAACAGCCTATAGCCCCCCCCCACACGTTTCCGTGGCAACTGACCTTATTCTTTGTTTATTACCACATCAAAAAGGAAAACCCCTGTCTCACCCAAGTGTGACATGGTCCAGACACTGAACTTTGAATGTAAAAGGACTGCAGTCTCCAAAGACTCAAAGCAGTTAATTAAATCTTTAGTTACCTGATTACGTTTGCCTCTATTTGAGTAGTTATGTTAACTGTTGTTAATATTAGTGCTGAAAAGAAAGTTACTTGTGCAGTGTTTTTATTTTCAGCAAGACACTCCTTCATGTAATGTAATCAATGCTTGTTCATAATACTTTCCTATAAAATTCCTTTAGAAATGATGACAAAGGAAGGTTTTACTATACTCTTAATCGCCAGCTTGAATTTAAGGATGAATCAACAATATTCCCAGTTCCTAAGGAGAGACAATCTTTGATTTAATCCAAGTCAGTCTGTGGTCTAACATAACTAATAATACTTTTAATAAGTTATTACTTCATGAGCTCTTTGTGATACAGATCAGAAGCGTTAAAGCGCTGCACAAACTTCTGTCAGTCACCGGAGTTTGATTTCCCCAAATGGGTCCTGATGACGCAGGATGACAATCGCCAAAGCTGTCCAATCAACGAGTTACCTGTAAGTCTGTGTAACGTCATGATTACTACGTTTGTAAAGCTGCAGTGAGAACATGAACCAGACCGGAACTAAAATGCAACAGTGCATCATTTTTTTTCCACTTGGTCCGGACCAAATGAACCGAACTACAGGTGTGAAAGCACCCTTAGAGTGAAGTGGTTTGTTTGGTCAGGAGTAAAGGGTTAGTATAAACCTGCATTTACTGCAGCACTGAACAGTGGAGGCAGCCTGGCTCACCTGAAATAAAGACCAGTAATAATTCGGCGGCATGTCACAATGTTAGAAAAAAGAAAACCTGAGTTTTTACGTGGTGGGAAAAGACGAGGAGTCCAATCGGTGCTTACAGCCTTTGTTATTTAATTCCATGGATGAAACCCCCGCCACCAGCATATATAGCAAATGTTTGCCTAAAGCCTTTACACAGAGTTCACTAAAGTTGAACTATGCGAAATTGGGCCGTTGACAAATTGCTCTGTCTGGAGAGTGCTAACCTTTGAGAGAACGGAGGGGCCAAAATGCAGGATGTTATCTTATTAGCCGTGTTGCACAACCTTTTTTTGACATTCTTCCTTCGCCTCCTCTGAATGGGAAGTAACAATATTAGAGCTTTCCTTTCTGCATCTATTTTGCAACTAACAAAACTAACTAGTGTACAACCAATGGCAGCCACTGCACATCCCCAAATGACTCAGTACTTCATCAGGTTCCCAGTCCCAGTTATTTGAAGAAAACATGCTAATGATTCTAACTGTACTTTCTAGTGTGACCTGGCACTTTTCAGATGTTGCTGATCTGTCTGTGTTTATAAATCTATGTTTATGTGGGAGGACGGGATTTTGTTTGTGTACATTAGCAACCGCTTTAAAGTGCATCATTATGAACTATTCAGAATACAGGCCTGTATCTCATATCGTCAATAATCCTAACAGACAGACAAACAATTTCCTACTATTAAGGAAGATAAATATAGGAAATGAAGGAAAAACCTGTATCCTGTCAGCAGAGAGCTCAAGTTGGTTAATAGGCAATATTAAAAGTAGGATATATTGAAAGGCAAGGCAACTTAGTTCTTTTAAAGTAAGATGTTGGACTTTTATATGCAATTACACGATGATCAACACATTTAAGTCAGTCCTTCTCCGCAAGCATTACACCTGGCCACATCTTGCACAGTTGGACTCTTTTCAAGGCCCTTTGTGTATGTGTCTCAGAGAGCTTTGTAAGGAAACTGTTCCCACTGACACTGTGTGGAAGACTGTAAAACAATGTTAATATAAGAACAATAATGAGCATCCTTGCTGTATCTGAGCACTGGTCCTAATCCTCACTGCCTGTCTGGCAGAGCTGGATGCAAAGAAAATCAGAACACTTAGCTATTCTCTGTTTCACATCCTCTACCTAATCCCCTACACTGATGAGCCAATCAACTTCCCGCAGGCAGACGAGGCTCGGCATCATATTATCCGGTAAATGCCTATAGCGTTCCTGGCTTTAAACAGGGAGGAGGATCTTTTAAACTCCCATTAGCTTGATTAAGACATACCTAGGCAATTTCCTGTGCAGAATGGGAATCCTCCGATTGATTTTGATACTCCGCAGGATTTGCAACGACAATGGTGTTTGATTCAAGCACATAAACAATACGGGAGTTTAATCTGCGCTCAAAGCTGTGGGCTAAAGTCGGTACTCAAAACAAAACAGATGAGCCAAACAAGCTCTTGGGAGTCGCTCTTAATCCCCGCAAGTGTCTGCTCCAACAGAAGCAAACAAAAGGTGGAATGAGGAAAGATAAGATCTTTGATTGAGAACATAACAGATCTCCTGGCACATCATGCACAGTATTCTGGGTATCATGACTAAGCAGAGAAAAGAGAGTGAGAGGAAAAACCTATGATAAAGGAAATAGCTATCAGCTGGGACGGAATATGCAACAACCAGCTGGGTGTTGTTATTTTATGTTCTGGCTTGACTCCAGCTCAAAGAGAGGCAACAGATTTGAGTGAAAACCTCTATGGGCATATGGTGCAGCTCTGTCAGACTCTTTGCTGTGGCATTTGACAGCACGCAGGGACCAGCGGCTGCTTAGCAACAAAGCTCTCTGGCCCTGAGACCTGGCACCGACACCTGGTATCCTGTTGGCAGAGGTTTGCACCACCTGCGCCAGCTGTCGGTCAAAGCCTATACCAAGGAGACATCTCCAAAGGTTGATTCCCAGCATCGTCTTTCCTTCTGTATTTCCACCTCCCAGAGTTTGTACAGTTTATTGGACTCATCACCCATTGTTCGCTGTTCACATCAGCAGGGTAAACTCTGGATGTTTTTAAGCCTGTTACATCAATGCACACATTCCCCCTGCTTCTGAGTTTGCGCCATTTCTCAAACTGTTCCTACACTTGTTTTTGATGCGTCAGGAATGGGGAAATTGCTTGTTTATTCAGTTGGAATGGAAAGGCTAGGAACATTTTTGAAAGCCAGAGGAATGCAAAGCATGAGGGGAGATTTTCACAGACCCTCTGGAAAGAATCAGATGATACTTCAAAAACAAAATGATGTAATACATCATGTAGGGACAGAGATGTTTGTTCTACAAAAACAATAAACAGCTTTTCTGATAATGGAAGTTTCACATGTGCTTTCTGAATGGTGGTTGGAAGGAGAATTGTTTTTGCAGGGACCTTTCTTCACCTCACCTTTCTTTAGCTGGATGTTGAGCCTCCTCCCAACCTTTTTGGTATATCCTCCTGGTGGCGTCGAGTTTAGCCCCCTCTGAGGAGAGTGGGTGTGTCCTGTTGGAGGTTTGGCTGCAGAGACCGCCGGGTGAGTCAGAGGAGGGTCTGTCTGGTCTGGGTGACCATGGGAATGAGGATGCGGATGGGAGTGCGGGTGAGTTTGCGAACCGTGTCGGGACATCCTCTGCGGGGTGTGGTCCATGCCGGAGACGATGCTGCCGGTCATGGAGTCAGGACTGAAACGGCCCGAGGCGTACGCCGGGTTCCTCTCAGCGTGGGAAAGCTGCTCGTAGTGGGTTTTCATCGATGATGGCACCACATGGAACATGATGACAGGAGATCGCATGGCCTGACGGAACATATTCTGGGCTCTGGGACAATTTGAAGGAAAGGACAGAGAAAGAGGTCAATTTCAAACTGATTTTAGCACTAAATACCTTTCTCAGCTATTCTTAATCATATACTTGTCTGTACAAACTTGCCCATTCAAGAACGCCAACTACCCGATGTCTCTCTCACACACACATCCATACTGTATATTTAAAATCCATCTTCGCCCACCTGAACATTCTGACATGTTAATTAATACTTATTGCCAGCGTGAGCGGCTCTAAAAAGAGACTGAACCCTCCCCGACAGCTCCATCACATAATCCCCTCATTTGGCTCCAGATGAAGGAGACCTCTATCCGTCAGATAGATAGCAGAAAATCCTCTTTTAAACCCCCTCTCAGTGTGAGCTCATGTACAGTAGGTGTGAATGGAAACTTATGTTGGCTGTCAGCACCCTGTAACAGCGGAGCCTTGTTAGCACCACCTGTTTCAATAAAGTCGACTTTGGTATGGCTCTTCCTCGCCCCTTGACAGCTGCACGGACTTTCTGCAAAATGCCTGGGCCCCAGAATTTCTAGTCTCCCCGCGCCCCTCTGAACGACAACAAAAACTTGGCCCCCCTGAAGACTTTCGTTGTGAAATACCAGGCCCCATTTGTTCCCAGCCACTAATGACCTTCCCTGAGGAGGATGGTCTTTACGATTTCAGTCTGAAACGAGTGGCAGACAAGATGTAATCTGCTCCCTTATAAAAATACCGTTAAATAACAAGAGCAACTGTTGAACTTTTGTAACAACACTATGCATGGAAGTATTATTCCCATCCATTTCTTGACTTATGGCTCAACAGTTGAGTTGGAGGGGGCACCATCACGTCCCTGACTGGGATTAAAGGGTTGGTTCAGCCAAATTATATATAATTTCTCACTTACTCATATTGATAGTTTTGGTTTAATTACCTAGATTTCTGCTTCCACTCCAATACAATGGAGGTTAACGTTTAAACTATTTCTACCATAGATACAGTCCATCTGTTCTTTGTATTATTCAACATACAGGGATACAGTTTCATTAAAGAGATACTGCTACTGAAGTGCAAATCCATTAACCTCCATTGTACTATCTGCACGGCTACATTAGGGATGGACGATATGGCCAAAAATGTTATCACAATATGTTTCATATCTTTTGATGTATCAAATTATCAAGTATCAAATCGGTATTTCTTTCGAGTTTAAAGGCTGATTTTTGCTCGTGAATGAAGGTTGAAGAAACCTGATGGTTAACTGTGGTTTAGACTTTTCTTTATGGTCAGAACAAACACTTGATGACAAAAAGTGGATCACTTCTCACATCTGAGGTAGAACATTCAAAACAATTATGATAAAATCTTTGTCAGCAAATTGAGTATTTTTTTTCTTTTTGCTCAACAAAATAAACATCTTCATAAAAAAAATGAAGTCCTACTTATTTATGATTCAAGTGAATAAAATCAAACATTTGTTGAATATTTATTGAACATTTTTTATATTGTTATTGAAAAAAAATTATATTCCGATATTTATTGTTATTGTTTTATTAGGCTACACACTACATAGATAAAGGTGACAACTGTGTATTTTTTTGTTTGTATGTTTGTTTTCATTTAATTACATTTTTATAATGGATGAACAAGCCGCTTAAATTATTCCACGTCCGTCTCATGACAGAAATCATAATACACCTGTATGTACACGTTATGCATGGTTCTTTGCATGTTCTTTGTCTCGCATGTACATCACACATGAATTATACACGGGGGTTGAAAACACACATGCTTTTAGCATACATCTATGCTGACAGGTGGACACATATGCATCACTGGATTTTTGAAATTGTATTTAGAAGGTTACGTTATATGCAGCATGAAGGCACGCATGCAGCATATAGAATCTAGAAAAGAGGGAGGGGAGTTAGCCAGTGGGGTTAGGCAAGTAATGAGAAGCACGAGATGTGAACAGAGCTGAAAAGCAGAGGCTATGAATGTAAGGAGCCTTATCCACATTCCTTCCGATGGAAGAAGTCAGAGAGGTGTTACAATAGGAGTCCAGTGGAGCTGTAACAGAAACACAGGGGAATAAAGGCTGAGAGGATTGCAAGGAACGCTTCAGCGATTGAGGGTGCAACCTACAGGAATTTAATAGGGAAAGGTTAGCTTAGCACAGTGACAGGCAGCAGAGGAGCCTGTGCACTGGCAGGAGTGCAGAGGGGACGGTAAAAAAAGGCATGAGAGGATAACAGCAAAAAGAAGGGTTTAGGACTGAAGGCATAAGAAGAGGGAAGAAGCGAAGGCCCAGAAAGCCAGTCACAGCAGTGGGTCCTGTGAGCTGCCGTCTTACTGTTCAAAGCGGATGTTTCTCAGGTCTCCGTTATTGATACGGACGATACAGTCATTCTCCTGGAAGAGGCCCTGCTGCTCAGCCTTGCCTCCTCTCTCCAGACGCTTGACCAACAAGCCAAGAGTCCTGAAATGTTCAAACGTTCATGTCAACAAGTTGCAAGACGATGTCTGTGGATTCAATATGGCTACTTTGCTGTAGCCTGGAAAGGGCTGAGGTGGAGAATACACTTTAGTATCTACTGAATTATAATCACTGGGACGTTTGGAGTTACACTTAGGGTTTTTATCTGCCAAAAAGATACTTAGACTTTGTGTACAGAAGAAAATGTTATGCGGCTCATCTGTTGAGTCCTTCAAGCACTCTGAAGTTCAGTCAAAGTGTGTTTGTCATCATTGTGACCTATAGGATTGTATTTTTCACTATTCATTTTGACAGTAAGTGTCTTGATGTTCTATGACTTTTGTACTGTATCCTTGCAGCCACAAAAATGCATTCTTGATTACAAACAATGCTGCTCCCAAGGTCAGGCGACTATCCAAGAATCAGCCTACACTGTGATAATAAAAGAGCTTTTTTCGGTCAAAACAAGAGCTATGCCTAATTGCTGCCTCTGCTTTATCACGTGGTACTTGAAAAGAGTGTACAGTGCGGTCCTGTCATTTGCATCATCAGTGTACCAATGAGGCATATGAGAGAAAGCAGTCACGTCTCATCAGGGTGCTTTAGAGGATGTGTGGGGGAGGCAGCTATTCAAAGACAATCAGCACATTCAAAAACTCAAGTGTAGTTCTGACTGGGTCGATTCTTTTGATTTTCTAACCCCTAAGACTCCTGCGCCCCTTTTCTAAGCAAAAAAATTACCAAAGTGCTTTCAGAGAGAGACAGAAAGCAGCACCACAAACATTAATAACAGGCGGGTTGGAGAGAAGCTGGTCTGCCGCATAGAAGTACTTCAGCCGTGCTGAGCTGTAACCGTTGTCGCCCTGTAATCCGGTGTGGCAAACTGGCTTATGCCACCCCGCACTGCCGCAGCGAGGGGCTAACTTCACCTGAAAGGGCGCTTTGCGGATTATAGATCCGAGTCGGAGGAAGAAAATCAACCGCGGGTAGGAAAGACGGCACAAAGCTAATCGAGTCTTCTTCGGTATATAGTCCGTGTCCGTGTGTAACGAGGCTTTTTCTGAGGTAGTATGAGCGAGTGTCGCCTAGGTAAACTGGGTTGATTTTAGGGTTTAATACTCGCCCTCGCCTAAGGCTTATAATTCAATATGAATGGGAATGTGATTACAGACAGGGCAGAAAAGTTCAGGAGTTGAAAAAGTTCAGAGACAATTCCACTGATTGAATTTGAGTGAGAACACAATGCGATTTGCTGTGGAGCGGCTATTTCTCTGATGAAAGCTGGGCATCTTAATCTTGGAACAACGCCTACTCTGACATTTCCCCAATAAAAGAAAAGTGCATTATAAATGTGCTTTTAGGTTGATTAAGTCAGGCAGATATGATCTTGACTTTCAATAAAGCAAGACAGTGAGTTTGTAGTCACTAATCATGTTTGGGAGTCTGGGGCAGACTCATACATAAAGAAAGTTTGGAGATTTGTGGTGCTGCTGTTGGCTCTGTGCTGGTGGCTAACTAACTGTGGCAGAAAAATAGCTCACCACTATAAAATGATACCAAGCATTAGATCTAAAACTGCTCCACCCTGGTTCTATTAACTTTTAACATTCTGCCAATAATAAGAAGGACCTCCATGTAAATGTTAGGTTTAAAAAAAACAACGTTATACAATCTACATACAGACTATAAAAGTTTCTGGATCACAATCTCCAACAATTACCTCTCTGGATATATCCAAACCAGATGTGAAATTCCTCTAATTCCTTCACAGATTGTTCCAGCAGCATATGGGTGCTTCTTAATGTCTTGTAGGCATGAGAGCGTGTGTTGTGTGCACTGCTCAGTGTAGCCTTTGAATCATGTAAAGCTGATGTGACAGCAGCCACAGAGAAATATGATGGTCACCTGCAAACCCTAAACAAGTATGATTGATCACTGTAAACTGGCAAATGGCTTCATGATGCAGGCAATGCAAAACTGTGTGTGTGCGTGTGTGTGTGTGTGCCACCAAAGAGGAATGCCCGGTATGCTGGTGTGGGTGTGTGTCTCAGGTGATGCAGCCTACTTCCCCTTCAGGGTTTTTACAGCCCTCAAAAATCCTAAACGAACACATTTGAAGACATTTTTTCCAGAAACCGAATTCAACAAAAGTGAATTAATTTAGTCTACAATAAGGCTGACAATTGGACAGCGGCAGGGGGTGAGTGAGCAACTTTGTTTTTGGTTTGTTTTATCGAAGGGTTGTCAGTTTGTCTACCACTTTCTGGTTAAAGCTAAAAGAAAGTACAAAAAAAGCAAAGCTCTAATATTGGAAAAACTACTTTTAGTTAAAGTACAGAGCTGTAAATGTACACGCTAAGCAGAGATAACAGATATTTTTTTAAAGCACATGCAGTTAAAAAGAAAAGTTATTTTAACAGTGTTTAAGTTCTTAACAGAGACATTATTTAAACAATTTCTGGCACATGTAGATGTGTTTAAAGCTCTGTGGACACCATGCCTGCCTGTTCCTCTCCTTTACTCTCTTCTAGCCTGTTTGACGGCGCCACGGTTCTGCTCTGGATATTTTTACCTGCGGTCCCTGCCACTGAAAGGCACCACGTGGATTCCCAGGGGCCCACCGTCGTTTGACACCTCCACCAGTTTGACTATGTCTCTGGGAGACGGTGATGGATGGAAGACGGAGAGACAGGGGTGGGTGGGTTTGGGGGGGAGGGAGTGGAGGGGAGAGGAGAGGGGTGACACCATGTGGGGAAAAAACAAAACAGGCAATGAGATGATGATGAAAGAAAGAAAACGATGATCACAACAACAGAGTGGTGTAAATAAATAAAAGAAAAGTAAAGAAGGTGTTGAAGGAGACTGACAAAAAAAAGAAAATAAAACAGAGCAATCCAAATAAATAAAACACATGTGAGAGGTAACAAGGAATACTCAAGTTTTTCAGAAATCCTCACACACACAATTTAGGCTTTAAGAGTCAATCTTGAAAGGGTCACATGAGAGACTGAGAACGGTGTCATTTTTTAGGGCTGCATCTGAATGGGACTGGAAATACAATGTTGCTACAAAGTCTAACATACGAGTCATTGTCAAGACATTGATATTAATAGTGTCACATTTTAGAGCATGTTTGATTTCATTCATCCTATGTGCAGATGTCTGCTGCCGAAATGCACCACAAACCACAAGTCAAAGTGTTAAAAAAACCAAAAACAAAACAACACACGCTTGGTGCGTCAAGCTCACTTTGACGTTGTTGCTTGCAGCTACAGAATAGAACTGTGTCCTTATTTTTTGTCTTTTGTGTCACATTGCAGCTGTTCAGCAAGCCGATCACAGCCACCTCAGACAAAAGTAACATGACTGTAGAATTTCAAGTAAAATTCTGTGACAGTTGAACCCGTTGACTTGTGGTGTCATACGTTTCAGGGGTCAATAGGGTCTGCATGTGGTCAGTGTTTCCCAGATTACCACTGCAAATGTGCAAACTTCTGTGCATATTTGAAAAACAGTAACAAAGAAGTATAACTTTATCTCCTACACAGACAGATTTACGATGGAGCGCTAGGCTGTATATAACTTCATTTCATTTATATTTTTGATGACATCCTTTGATCCTACAAGCACAAAACACAGTTACAGCTATTTGCTTTTCCTTTACCTGTAAGTCTGCTTTGGACATTTGACAAGATGCCAAATCTAATGGACTCACAGCTTTGATACAATGACTATGATTAGCTCGGGGAAAATGGGCCCCTTGCTGACAACTAAGAGGCGGGAGAAGACAGAGTCTCGAAAATCATAGGAATAAACAACAATACCATACCTGCATATTAAACTGGAAGCATGCAACAGAGCAAAATAACAAAATAAAACACAGTTGTTAATAACAGGAGCTGAATGGGCGAGTGCGTGGGAGAGCTCTGATGGCGAGACGAGGATCATTTTGCTCCCACAAAAGAGAATTATGTAAATCAGGAGGCAGGGTTGAAATTACATTTTCTAAAAACAAACCTAGATTACAATACAGAACCTGATGTTCTACCTTTAAAGTACTTATGTATGTAATTATGTAGAAAAAGGGGAGGAGAAGGCTGATTCACCCAGGTCAGCTTTGAAGGGAAAATCTAGTTTCAGACAAAATGAGAATTCATTTTTATAGTTTTCGCCATCTGGTTATAACTGTGCTCACCAAGTATTTGCTCAGATCTGGGAGCACGGCAACATCTGTACCTGAGTAAGATTAATTAGTCCAATGTTACCATTACTGAAATGATGGCCAAAACTACAAAAAACAGACCGGAGTTGTAATGACCCAGAATTGTCTTTTAGAACGATGTAAGGTGTGTAGACACCAAAAAAACAAACTGTTTCAAATTCTCTATCCACAGAGAAAAAGACGTCATCTTAAAAGGAATAACACAATATTTGCACAAATATGGATCATTCAAAATTCAACAGTGAAACAATTTGATCAGCACTGTGAACAGATTAGAGACACGAGAGGTGTTACTTTTCCTAAATGGTGGATATCACATTTTGGAATAAAAGTACTTAAATATCCAGAAACGTGTTTCAGCTTAAATATCCAGAAACGTGTTTCAGCAGGAATGTGAGGATACAGAGAGGCAAAAGCTGGGGAAGCCGACTGAAGGACTTACTCTAGTGACCTCACAGGGGTGTGGTCCATGCAGGAGTCCGCTCGGCCAACCGGCTCGATCCGGCCGTTTTCTTCTCCTCTCGACTCTTCCTCCTTGTAAACAAAGCACAAACAAACGAAAGAAGCTTAAGGTATCTATGCCGGATCATGGTCCTGCTATGACCTGGTCGTTTTTTCAATTCTTTCCAATGGGAGCGTCGCGTTTTTACAAGCTGGTAAAAACGGCAGCAGCGTGACGAGGCGCCGACAATGTTTTCTCACCCACAAAATCATAAACCGACATATGGCCAGTCGGTCCTGTCTCTCTACCTGCTTCAGCCTCCTCTTCATACAGAGCAAGAGCCAGAGCAAGTACTCTGCTCTGTGTTGACATTTTTACATCCAGTAAAGTTAGTTAGAACTACTTACAACCAGGGATTTTATGTATCATAGCAACCAAAGCAGGAGGAAAACACGCTGCGCCTCAAAAACGCCCGCTAGCACTCCCTGCTGGGCGTTTTCAGAAGAGCAGCTGCCAATAAACGCTTTGGTGGACACGGGCCCCTACTGTGAACAAGTTAGCATAGCACAGGCCTGATTGATCCGAACTCCATTCAGAAAACAAACCTTTTAAAAGTTTTTGTCCTGCTGGCAGATCTGACAAAGCGTAAATTCATATGTTTAACAAATTGACAATCTTGTCGCAGTCATTTCGGCATCATTTTGATCCCTTCATTACAATTAAATCACAGCTAAATCTTTATGGGTTGTGTTTTTTTCCTTTATAGTTATGTGTGTGAACACTCGGCAGTAGTCCAGCTATAAAACCCCTGCGAGGATTTAATTTGGTCTGAATGCACAGTAAGGAGATAGGAGGCAAAAGATTCTAACATGCTAGTCTTCCCATAGGGGCCTTGTGAGACTTCCAGGATGCAAAATCCTCTATCATCCACTATGACATGGGATAAAATAACTAATTGTGTCTAATGCCAATTTTCCTGAGTAGAATCAGGCAATTTTCAAAGTTATTTTGTGCAGTCTGGTCCAGGCATAGGATCTCCCAAGATTGTTTCTTGAATTACTGGTCATGTATAGGAGGAAGAACCTTTAAATCTTTGAGCATGTAAAAAGTAGGCTGAGATGCTAACCTGACGAAGCCCAGACGAGCAGATCGGAGGAGGTCTTCCACAGGTACAAAAACACAAGCCCTTTAAAAATTCTTGTCTTTCAAATTACATTGCTTTTGTTCTCCTGTTGTATTATCTGAATACTGAAGCTGAGACCCCATTACATGTACACACAAACACACACACACACAGGACACAAAGAGCGAAAAAGGAGTAAAATGAGAAGCAGAGAAAGAAGGTCATTAAAATTTCAGGGCGACACCAGAGAGGAGAGACGAGCAAGCAGCAGCAGCAGCGCAGGCCTCCCCAGCAACCGGCCGCCTCATCAGTATGAAAATGAGCCTGCCGTTACCGTGGCTGCCGTGCGGTTGCCATGACACTTTGGGTGCCTGGAGGACGTACAGCTACAGGGCATGTGTGTGAGAGGGTACATGTCACTATGAAAACACAAAGGCAACAAGTCTGACTCGCAGCCTCCTTCAACAGACAGAGATGGCAATGTGTGAGGTAGATGTGTGTGCGCGTGTGCACGCTGTAGAGAGGTACCATTTTAACCGTTTCATTAATCAATTGGCAGCAAATAGGGGTGTGCCCAAAACATTTTGCCGTGATACTGTATCAATATTCCAGCCCATCATATCGACACAAAAAAAATAAACAATTAAAATAGTGCTTTGATGATTAGCTCAATGCTAACATATAATAGGAATCTCCATTAACCTGCTAAAGGCCGTTACCATCCCGATCGCAAAAATAAAATCTTCACATAAAGCACACATTTTGCTTCACAAGCTGAACATCCTGAGTGACTTACTGCAGGAAATACATATATAGTGTTTCCTGAGCTCTGTGTGAAATAAAAAAGAGCTGCTACTCTGCTGCACAATGCTGTGTCACTGAACAATTATCAATATCATGTGACGTACATATTAGACTTAGGTGGTCCACAGCAATTTGTATTTTCAGCAAAAAAAATCCAGTAAATTTGCATTTTATGTGCCATATATAAAGATATGTTTTTATAAGGATTTGCTCTACAATTCTGTAATTTTAATTTACAGACTGAAAAACGTGTGCTGCAGAATTGTGCGGTCTTCTAACGGTTTGGCTTTGCAGCAAATACATAGAGAAAACATTTTCACAGCCATTTTGTATTCATAGTTAGATATCGTGATGTATCATTTTAGGATTGTCCAACAATATATCGATTATTGCAGAATTGCTGTACCCCCATTCCACATGACTAAGTCAGTTTAAGTTTTTTTTTAAATGTTATTTTGACAGGCTTTCCTAGAGGGCATAAACTGGTTGGTACGTCAAATGTTCCTGCATCACCAAAAGAGGACTATATCCCACAAATGTGTCAGTGAAGAAGAACATTAAATTGTTCTGCCTTGATGACAGCAGACATGAAAATACAAACATATGTGGAAGACTATAAAGAAAACAGTGTGGTTCTTAGAAGATATTCCTCGGATCGGTGAACAGCAGCATTGCAATATAAGATTCTTTTTTACAGCACTATAAAAAGGAGTTTACATTCATAATTAATATGTAACATTTATAAAGAGAACATTTCTAAAATGGGTCCTCACATTGCCAAAATGCGTTCTACTATATGATTTTTTTACAAGTACTGTTTTGCCCCTTTTTGGTTAAATGTATGGAGGAGCCCTGCACCCATGGTCATCAAGAAGACGCAATGACACACATCATAAAACACACAGAGGCCAGATGAAGAGAAAGTCAGAAAGCAGACAATAACTACTCAAAGAGCCTCAGAAACACATCTAACACACTATTCAATATTTATCACGAGACGAGAATGTGACGCCGAGGGACATCAGAGAGGGAGAGGAGTCGCTATCTGAGGAAGAGCAAATAAGATGGGCATTCATCACAGCACACGCGGGCATCTCATAGAGCCTTTATTTTAATATGCAACATCTCAGAGGAATCTGGCTGCACACTGACAATTCTATTCTACAGTCAGACAGAGACAGCGTGTGTGCGTGCGTGTCTGTGTATGGTATTGTGTTCGTGTGTCAGCGTGCGAGACGGGAGGAAGAGAGAAAGAATGAAAAGAGATAGATGATAAAAGAGAAAGGTGACGCAAGTGATGCAGATGGAAGCGAAACAAAACAAGCAGACATTCTACAATGAAGAATGTATATACAGCATTATATATTAAGTTTCAGCAGCTGCTATGGGGTCAATACATACAATCAATTCTGGTACAATATAAATGCAACAGGCCAATGAAAAAAAAGGCCTTAGTGTAATGCAGTGGTTTTGTTTTTCAAGATGAACACAATGGAAGTGTTGGGATAAAAACCTCATTTTGTAGCTGTTGTGGAGCTTTCAATCATATTGCATGATCATCAGCAGATGGAGTTGCCTGGCTGTCATGGAATTCTCATCCGTGTTGGCTCAAAACTAAAAGACAAAGGAGTTCTCCTAAAAAATGGAAAATTGACAACTGACTAAATTGTCAAATGGGAAAATCCATCTGCTGATGAATTCCCTGTAGTGTGACCGCTACCAAATGGACCTTTCTGGTGAGAAACTGCTGTTCTCAAGGTCGGAATGAAGTTTGAACCTCAGCTGATTGAAGTGATTTTTCTATCGGCCTTTCCTTTTCCCTTGTCCACTATCTGCTGTTATAAAGGTTTTAGGTCAACTTGCTCTGGGGAGAAAAATGACAGCCTGCTCCTGTTTTGTGCTATAAAGGAATATTGCTTTGTAAGAAAAGAAAAACTGAAGGCTGGCGGACAATGCTCTGTTTGATTACAGTACACCTACCCTGTACCTATGAGTTGAGTGAGATACAGCATGATTTCATTATGTTCAAATGTGAACATGGTTTGTTGTTAAAATCGTTGATTATGTTTCTATGACCCCCGGTAGCTGTAGCTCTCATCTCTTTTCTTTTGGTATTTGTTGAGAAGGTCAACATGAGGAGGATAATAAAACCTAAGTGCTATCGGCTATGAGGTAAACAATACCGGCTTCTTCCCAGACAAACATTAGCACATTGACTGACAGATGGACCAATCAGCTCTTACTTCAACTTCCCCCTCCAAAGTCCTGAAGGAGACACTCAGAGAGGCACTGCCACACTTTCCCAGCCACACCATCAAGCAGTCGCCCATTGCCCTTCCTGGGAGTGGGCCGGGCGAGGGGAGAGATAGATAGCCGCATTAATAATTCAGGGCTGAGCTGGGGGGTTAATGGCTAGCAGGCAGACAGACAGGCAGGCAGGCAGGCAGGTATGAGGACGAGCGGCCGACGTGTTTTCCAGCCGAGTCATTGTTTGCTTCCTGGATGTGGAGGAGGAGAGGTGGGCGGGCAGTTTTCAGGCCCCGGGGCTCATTAAAGATTAATAGGAGAATCTACTGGGGCCTGTCCTTTCTATCTCCCAGACTAAATGAAGTGGTCTGCCCCTAGTGTGTATATGTGTATGTATGGGAGAGAGTGAGTGGAGTAATGCTGCACTTTAATGAAGTGCTGCCCGCTCCCGTTTCCTGCCACTTTGACCACACTGTCACTTACAAACTGATGTGGATGCATGCAGGGATGGAGAGGCGGGATCTTTGGTTGCAGGAAAAGAGTTTAGCTTTGCTGACCAAAACATTTAGATGGAAATGCAAAACTTTTGATGGTGAATAAATCTTAAATGCATAAATGTTTTGTTACACATATATTTACAATCAGTCAGAGTACAGTAACGTTTTTCTCGCGCACCTGACGTCACCACGGTCGGCCAGCATTCAAAGCGCAGGAAGAAAAAAATAATAATAATTAAGCCGTCGAAAATTGGCCTGTAACATTTTGTCTCCTTATTACACTGACAAAAAGAAAGAGATTTTATTAATTATTATTTTATTTTATGAATTACATTTTAGTCTCCTCATTTTTCGTCAACAATATTGCACGTTAATGTCACTGTCAGCGTCTAAGGACATTGTCGCCGTCTCGTCTTCGTCT